GGCAACCACCAGGAGCTAGGAAGATGACACCTGATTTCAGACGTCCAACCTCTGGAACTGTGAAAGAATAAATTTCTGTTGTTTTAACACACCCAGTTTGTGCTACTTTGTTAACAGCATCCCGAGAAACTAATAGTGGAGATTTGCACCCTGAATCTAAGATGAGCTAGTTTATGAAGTTTACATGATTAGATAGCTTAAGAAAGGAGGCCACAGTCAGTGGAAAATAATTCTCCATATTTAATTGTTCGGTGTGTCTGGGAAAAGGAGGGAGGAGAGGAGATATTATGTTAGGAGTCCTAAAATAAAGAGAGGGCCAGATTTTGGACTTTGGGTAGGCTGAGGGGTTGTGCAGTGGGATTGAGTTTAGCAAAGACTGGCTCAGTTTCCTCGGTGAAGTTCACAGGCAGTAGAGATAGTGAGAGGGAAGCCACTACCCAGTGGTCTCTGAGTTTTCAACAAAATGGCAAGTTTATGTGCTGAAAGCTAAAGTGCAGAAGTAGGGCTGAGGACCCCAGGGAAGTAGGAAGACAAGTAGATGAAAAGATCTATGAAGTGTGCCAAGGAAGACGGGGTTGATGTGGTGTGGGTGCCCACAAATCCAAGTTTGGAGGAATTCAGCATTGGGAGCCGGAAGCAGTACTACCCAAGCAAGTATCAAGTGTGGAGAGTTGGAACAGAAAAGGCCCAGCCCCCATAATATACGTGGAACAGAGGTTCAGGGAATTCATGTCAGCTGTCCAAGCCGATGAGTAATAGATTTGGAGTGTAGGTCACAGACTCCTAACCTTGGAGACCATATTGGAAATGAAAATCCCTAAATCTATGGAAATAGATAAATGATCTTTTAAATGTAGTTACTGAGAAGGTATATGATAGTCCTAGGGAGCTTCACTGTTTTCTCTGTCCCTCTCTCTCATGAATGGTTAACTCATGTATACATCCCAGGAAATGTATTGACAGTAAAAATCATGGAATGAGATTTTCAGGATTGATAAGCAAGGATTATTTACAATCTGAGAATGTCCAATTTACTTGCCGCTGGACAAAAAAAAGTAACACAGTCATTCAAGGTCCACCATGAAAAGGGGTATTTGATATCATTTCGATTAGCATCATTTTCATAGTGGTAGTTGAGAGTGAGGGGCTTGGGGTCCAAACTGCTCTAGACTCACATGTTAGCTCTGCCTTTATTTGAACATCTGCAAATAAGTTCCACCCCTAAGCCCCACTTTTCAAATCTGTAAAGTGGTTGTAAATATAATACTTCATACTTGATAGGATTACTTTCACTGTTAAATAAGGAAATTTATTATAAGCCCTTCATATACTTTCTAGCACATAGGAAACCAGTCAGTACAAGGAGTCATTTAGCTGAAGTGCAGTTAAGTTGTAAGTGAAGACTCGTCATGTGAATTATTCCAATTTCTGGGATGATTGTACCTTGTTTTTCCTTGCGCTGCCCAACTTTTCTTTTTAATCTGCTCTTGTTTTTGACTTGGGTGTCTAATTTTCAATCCTTAAAAGCTCGTAGAGACTTGCTCAACACTGTGGGTTTTTTTCTTCCTTTTAGAATCTGATCATTTTTTTGTGTGTGTGAATGCCAGAAAGAACAATAAACAAATACCACGTGCCATGCTTAGCCAACCATCCACAACTACATACTCCCCACAGAGTATGTAGAAACAAAACCCAAAAACCAACTTATCAAGTAAAGAACATTTGGCAGGCTTTTTACACACAGGCTGTGGCCCATTTTCAGAGGCCAAATGGAACAAAAACAGTTTTGAAAGAGGCAAACATTTGCAGAAGAGCTTTTGAAGGATTCTTAGCTGTTCTTCTAGACAAAAAGAAAACAGTGAATCAGAGGGGCTTCATTGGCCTGACGGTAAGTCAAATTCCATTCTGCTTTGCATAAGGTAAGTAAGGCATAAAGTGTCCATATGGCCAATGCCAAATATTTTGATTGACATTATTGAAATTATTTTATTGTTCTGATATTCCTAAATTATTGTATGTTTTACATTGTAGACCTGATGAGTGATTTAATTTTTTAAACTCAGTTATATAGTATTTTAGTGTGATAATAAAATGGAAGAGAGACTCAGAGGTGTGCATGAATATAATTAATCTTTGCGGGGTCAGCTTTATACTTCTCTGGTTAGCCTTTTAAGAATTTGCCAACTTTGACTTCTTGAGAATATGTGGGCATTAGGACAGGTTACTTTTCCCCGTGGCTTCTTAGTGAGCTATTCAAACTGACCTCTGTAGCTATAAGGTGAAGATGAATGTTTTGACTTAGAAACTTTCTCAAGTTAGAATTTATAGATTATTTTGATATTTGGTAGCTTTACCTTTTCTTTCATCAAAAAACAGAAACAGAACAAGTTCTCTGAGCACTGTAATTATATCTAATGTCAACATTTATTCAAATTAATTTAATTGACAAGAGTTCTGATACTGGCCAAATTCCAATCTCTGGAATTTCACATTGAAAATACAGAAGGTTGGAGTGGGGGAGAGGGGAAGGGGGTTGATAGGCATGAAGGAGGGCACTTGTGGGGATGAGCACTGGGTGTTATATGGAAACCAACTTGACAACAAACTATAAAAGGAAAAGAAAGAAATTTTATTTCTTCTTTATTTATAAAGAAATAAAACATTAAAAAACAAAAAAATACAGAAGGATCCCTATTATACATCATGGTGATCTACAAATCAATTACTTTAGTAATATCCACTCACATGTTTTTGGTTTTCTTTTGTATCTGTCTTACATTCTTAATACATAAAAAAGGACTCATGAATTTAAGAGGAGAAATTAGCTCTCTTTGGGTTCTAAGAATGATTATCATTGCTATTAGATTTTGCTTTACTCAGTGGTTCCCTAGATATTAAATAAGCATGCAAAAGTATACCATTTGAAGTGCAGACTGCTTGTGGGCAGTTCTCTGACCAAAAAAAAACAAAAACAAAAACCCCAAAACAAAGAACAAAAGAACAAAACAAAACTGTTTATGGCTTTATTCCTGTTAAACTTTTATTTCTTTAAGTAAATAGCAGTGTTTTTTGAATTCTAAACATCGCTAACATCCTATTCTCTGATATACTATAGATTGTTGTAATGTTGAAATTTGGCAGAAAAAAGTTACTTTTGAGACAAGAGAGAAAAGACCTCCTATACTACCACCCTCATCACCCAGAGCCATGAGAACCTGGAGAGAAATACTTCACCAGCTGATAAGATAATTTACGTTTGTTAATACTTCATACTCAAAAACAAAACAAAACAAAAAACAACAACAACAAACCCTACTGAATGTGTTTCTGCTGAGTCAAATAAAGCATCAAGTTAGTGCAATGGAAGCTACTTTTTCAAAGTGTTCAGAAGCTTTCCTGTATCTGGGCTTATTTTGGTCTTTGGTCTTTTTTTTTTTTTCTTCTAGTTACTAGTCACCCTCCCTCTCCACGAACAGGAGAAAATGATTAAAAAAAAGATAAGCGTGTATCAACAAACTCAGGCCCTTTTATGCAAGAATTTTCTTAAAAAATGGAGAATGAAGAAAGAGAGCATATCGGTATGGGTCACAATGTCTATTTTTCCTTATTTAGTCAATGAAAACCATCACTTAGTATTATGCTATGTGTATTGCTTTTTTATGTTCACATTCCACAGGCTAGTTGGTTTGGAATTCTAAATATAATATTTTGCAAATATTGCAGAATAAGCTATTAGATATATTGCAGAAAAGGATCATATTTATGGTAAATCCATGAGATTTAGCTAAAGGACTCAAACAAAGCAATGTTTCATTGACTAGAACTAGCCATTCTCCAAATAATTAATCCATTTAGATTTTGAGGCGTTGTTCTGATTTAATTCAGTCAACTTCAGTTTTAAGGGAGGAAAATGAAACAAGTTAGGCAAAATGAAATAGATTTTAAAATGAGTAAACCATTGTACTCTACTGGGGACGTTTTGATTAAGATTCTATTAATCGGGGCGGGGGTGGGGACCAGCGGGAAAAATCTATGAGGAAAAATTAGGAAATTTTTTTGGGATCTCTTCAAGACTGTGCTTTTTCTAAACACAGAGTGGCTTCAGGGAGTAGCCAGATCTCTGATTGTCAGTATCTAGCATTCTGTTGAGTTCCTAGGAACCAATGAGACCATCTCGTATCATGTTGAATATTCATGTTCTGTATCTATCTGATTCCTACTTCATGCAGTCATTTAATTCATTTCTTTGCCTTTTACATTTCTTTAAGCAGAAAATAGTTTGAAGGACAGGATTAGCTTCTAGTTGAACATTTTTGGCAGGAATATCTCATATGTGATGCTCTGCACTTAAATTATATCACATATGGGGACGTATAATCAGTAGTGGTTCACTATTAGGGATGCTGTATTAGTGGGTTAAGATCAATGGGCATATTCTTTTATTTTTTTAAATGTTTATTTATACTTTTGAGAGAGAGAGAGAGAGAGGGACAGAGCATGAGTGGGGGAGGGGCAGAGAGAGAGGGAGACAGAATCTGAAGCAGGATCCAGGCTGAGATGTCAGCAGAGAGCCCAAAGTGGGGCTTGAACTCACCAACCGTGAAATGACCCGAGCCAAAGGTGGACACTCAACTGACTGAGCCACATAGGCGCCCCCTGGGCATATTTGATATGATCTCAAAGTGGTATATTTTTGAAATTAGTATTTGGGGAAGGCAAAAATTGGAGAGAGAAATGAAGCTCAATGCTCAACAATAATACTTTGTGTCTTAAAATGTGTTTGCATGTTTCTTGATATCCAGACCACGTTATAACTTGGTTCATTTTTCTTTCATGTACTGGAGGAATGGACAGTAGCTTTGCTTCTGGGGCTGCATTTGTGCTTATTTTCGGAATCCTTCAGAGCTACCCATCTTCCTGAACAGCCTCCTCGTGTCCTGGGACGTGTGGATGACTTTAATGACTCTGACCTGGTGGTGGCATATACCCCAGTCACTAACATGACCCAGAGGATAATGGAGAAGATGTCTTTGGCTTCCTTCATGAAAGGTGTGTTGCCCAATGACCAATGTTTCATTATTATGCAACCTGCACATGTTTAACTCGAGGTTTGTTGTGCAAATTGAATTTATTTGCTCAGCCTATGTATGGGTCAGTAGTTCTCAACTGGGGCAAGGACCTTTATTCCACATGCCATGTAGGGGTTGGTGTGGGGTTACAGGTGAGGGTAAATGGGTGAGAAGTGAAATAGACTTAACTGGGGGTTTTTCAAATCACATACACTCCCTTCACCCCTCTCATCCTTGAAATCTGTGCTGTCATGAGTCATCATTAGTGGATGATGTAAACTCCAAAAAGCAAGGTGGGAATAGGAAAACAAATTTGAACCGTATCCTAGATGATTTCAGGTTTTATCCCTGACTACTTTCTTCTGTTTTGTGATTCTTCATGGCAGCTTCTGGATCTCTGACTTCTGCTTGTCACCCTTACCCACACTGGCCATGTGCTCTGACTGACCAGGCTACATTCTACCCTGATCTGGTTTTCCACACCTCCCCTATTTGGTTGTTTACCACATCTCTTTTTTAACTTGGGAAGCATTTACAAAAGCTACAGGGACTAGTCTCCCCGCCTACACAGTGTGGGCTCTTCGCTGCCTTTTTTTTTTTTTTTTAAATGCTTATTTACTTATTTTGAGAGAGAGTTTGTGAGTTGGGGAGGGGCAAAGAGAGAGGGAGAGAGAGAATCCCAAGTAGGCTCCACGCTGTCACAGGGCTCCATCTCACAAACTGCAAGATCATGACCTGACCCAGCATTCAGCGTCAGGCGCTTCACCGACTGAGCCACCCAGGCGCCCCAGCTCTCTGCTGCTTCTGGTCCTTGGAGTCTCTTGGCTCACTGACATCCTTCTGTCCTTTTCTAATCGAAGCCCCCACCTTGGCCGCCAAGCCAGCCTATTCCAGTCCCAGCTCCTCATGCCACCTCATTCTATGTTTGTCTGACTCATGCTGTTCAGCCCAAAGGCTCACTTTTGCACCTTCACAGTATTTGTATACCTCTAGAGAAAATCAGTGAACTTAGCATTGTCCTCATAAAAAATCCACAGCCTTGGGGCACCTGGGTGGTTGAGTCTTTTAAGCGTCCAACATCAGCTCAGGTCATGATCTCATGGCTCCTGAGTTCAAACCTCATGTCGGGCTCTGTGCTGACAGTTCAGAGCCTGGAGTCTGCTTCTGATTCTGTGTCTCCCTCTCTCTCTGCCCCTCCCCTGCTCACATGCTGCCTCTCTCTCTCTCTCAAAGATAAATAAACGTTAAAAAATATTTTTAAAAATTAAAAAAAATTTTACAGCCTTACTCCATGTTTGGAAAGATGAGTAGTTTTGAAAGATATAGGTACACTATAAAAATGAATATATTTTCCTCTTTCATGCAGACATGATCCTGAGTGATCTTTAAGTACTGTGTTAAGACTAATAAAAATTTTAGAACATAATACATGACAGTATAAAAAAGTATTTAAAAAGGAGGCCATAAATTGGACTTCAGAGAATTGCAAACATCCACTAGTAACAGATTAATTAACCACTTATTAGATGGATTACTTCTGCAGATTATAAACTCATCCCTTACGAACGTTACGAGCTTAATTCTTAAAGAGTGTTTTTAACTCCAAAGAGCCTGTAGGCAGACTATAACTTTACTGGTGATTTTTGCACTCTGATTATTTGCATGTAGTCTATTTCTACTGGCACAGTATTTTCACATGATAGAAATTAGCATTCTTGGCAGGAAAAAAAAAGCCATCAAATTCTCAAGAAGTTCTATTGATTATTTTAAATATTTTTTCATTTAATTTTTTAATTATTTTATCTACCAAGGTAATAGCCACCCCCCCAAAAAAAAAAAAAAAAGAAAGTGAGAGTTTCTGCTCGTACCTTAGCCACAACTTCCTCTCCTGTCGTACCTCCCATTTAAATTTGTGTGTATCTTTTTAGGCTAATATGTACGCAGACATACACCTAATTACATATATAGACATATACAGAGATATATATGTATAAGTACACAGATTCAGTTTCTTTACTAAAATGAGACCACACTAAAAAAATGCTGCAATGTTTTTAAAAAAAAATATTTCTTTATTTTTGAGACAGACAGAGTGCAAGCAGAGGAGGGGCAGAGAGAGAGAAGGAGACACAAAATCTAAAGCAGGCTCCAGGCTCCAAGCTGTCAGCACAGAGCCTGATGCGGGGCTCGAATCCATGAATCACGAGATCATGACCTGAGCCGAAGTCAGATGCTCAAGTGACTGAGCCACCAAGGCACCCCTGCAAATGGTTTTTAAAAGATGATATGTCATTTACATCTTTTCACATATTTACACTGAGCCTAAAACGGTAGAAAAGACTTTCAGTAGCTACTTTAGAGGCACCTACTTAGGGATAGCATGTAACCCCAGTAAACAATTACAACTTGGTTTTGCATTCTCTAGTAATGAGTCAATATGATTATTTATATTTTTTCATGTGTGGCAGGAAGAAAAACCCTTGAGGTTGCTGATAAAGAAATGATGGATACATTACTTTTAGAAAGCCATCATGAAATGGTGGGAGTTGTGTTTCATGATATTTTTTCATACCAGCTGAAGTTTAATTGGAGATATGGAATCCCAACTAGAAAAGAACACTCTGAATACTCAGGTAACTATAGAAGAATTGATGCGATCTTTTTTGCTGTCTTTATCAAATCCCCAGTTGGGAACGACTGATAGAAACATTGATCAAATCAAGAAAAGAGGTAATATACTTTTTATTCAACTTAGTGATCAGTGTTTCCTGTAGGATGAGCCCAGTGATTTTGGCCACCATGCAATAATATGCTTCTTTCTGCCAGTTTTGCAGAATGCTTTAAAAATTGCTCTGGAATCTGTAACCATGGGCTCTGAGCAGGCACGTAGCTATTTCACTCTAGAGCCAAAGTGAAAGGTTGTAATCCCATTGATTGATTGTATTGCAAAATGACGGGCATGTTTTTGTCTTTCCTTCAAGAACACTGTTGGAATATGTATGATGAAATTTTTTGTTCCATGACAAGATACTGGCAAAAAGGGTTTGTGGCTTTTCAGACTGCAATTAATGCTGCAATTATAGAGGTAAGTGCCCAAACTTAAGTGATCTGTTTTATATCTTCATTATTTTCTCCCTATCTTCCACTGCCTTGCCCCTACACTCCTGAGAGATTATACTCTGCTTCTTATTCTCACAGAAAAAGAAGCCAACAGATGGGAATATCCTGAACTTCCCAACACAAACCCTGCTAACTACAGACCCACCACCACGACGCCCATCCTTTCCCTTCTACCTCATCTCAGATGTCTTTTCCTCAACTCACAGGCTGAATCCTGTTCCTTCCAACATCATCAGGAAGGTTGCACATGGGTTTTCCTGTCTGTCTCCTCTTACTTCAGCTTCCCCCTTTCCTCTAGATCCTTCTTTTTGTGAACTGACATTACTAATTTCTTAACATATTATCAGGATCTTTCCTTATTTCCTCGTCAGACAAGTACTCTCTAGCTCTCGCCTCTTAACAGCTAAGTTTCTTGAAAGAGTTGCCTTCATGTAGGCCCCACTCAACTCAGAATGATTTCTGTCCCACACCAGGCCACCCAAATGGCATTTTCTTAGGTCAGTAACAACTCCCATGTCGATTAATGACCGACATTTTTTCACCCCTTATCTTACTTGATCTTTTAACCAAATAAGAAAGCCTTGATCTGGTCTTCCTGTTCTTCCCTCACCTGTCCTTCTCTGTCTTCTCACCAGTGTATCCAACTGCACACTCACACTTCTTTATATCTGTAGTCCCTAGGTTCTAACCTAGGCATCTTTCTCCAACCTCTGTCCTTTCTCTAAACAATATTACTCATTTTCCGTAACTTTAATTACAGCTTACATGCCTGGTAACTCTAAGAACCCTACTTCAATTTGCAGACCAGCAAAATTATTCTAATTTTTTTTAATGTTTATTTATTTTTAAGAGAGAGAGAAAGAGTAAGAGACAGAGAGAGAGAGAGAGAGAGAGAAGCATGAGCAGAGCAGAAGCAGAGACACAGGGAGACACAGATCTGAAGCAGGCTCTGACAGCACAGAGCCTGACATAGGGCTTGAACCCATGAACCATGAAATCATGACCTGAGCTGAAGTCAGATGCTTAACCAACAGAGCTATGCAGATGCCCCATAAACTTGTTCTGTAAGGGGCCAGATCATAAATATTGTAGGCTCTGGGGGCCAAACATTACTGAACTCAGCTGTCGTAATGTGAAAGCAGCCATAGACAATACATAAAGAAATGAACATGGCTTGATTCCAATAAAACTTTATTTACGGAAACAAGTGGTGGACCAGATTTCGTCCAGGGACCATAGTTTGCTAATCTCTGCTCTCATTCCATGTATCTGACTGTTTACCGAATACCTTTCCTTTGATGCTTCCTAAGCAATTCAGACTAGTATGTTCTAAATGGAATATGAGTATTTTTCTCTTAATGTGACTGAGACTTCTAAAAATTTTCCCATGTCAGTGAATGCCAAAGCTATCCACCAAAGGTGACCAGAGAATTCCCCATGACATGCAATCTCTCATCCAGCCCTGTTCATTCTAAGCTGAAACTCATGTACTTAACTCTACCCCCGGCACTAGTCCAAGCCATTATCACCTTTTGCCTGAACTCTGGGAGAAGTTTATTTCTTTAGCCCCATCTCCTTTCTCTCTCCCTCTTTTTCTCACACCTTGCCTCCCTCTCTCTCTCCATCAGTTTTGCTTCAAGGACCTCTCTCCTATGCCTCCCAACATTCTACACCCCTTCTTTCCTTTGCATATGCGGTTTCCTCTGCCCAGATTTTTCTTCTCTATCCTCAGCTCTCCCCCACCCAAGCTTTATTTAGGTAAGATCATTATAAAAATGAATGTCGTTTCTTCAGGGTAGTCTTGCCTGCGTTTCATCTCAGAGCACACTCTACTTCTCTGTTAAGGCGGTTGCTCAATTATTATCAAACAATTGATGGTGCAGTGAGTTGTCTGATATTTCCCCTCCCTCCTCTGTTCCACCATGAAACGTAAAGCTTCATGAGAGTGGGGAGTGTTCCTGTGCATCTCCGCTGTCACTCCATCCCCTGTCATAGTATATCGGGCATGATAGACATCCAGCAACTTCTAAAACAACTCTTATAAATAATATCAACTAATAACAAAAGTCATCAAGACTGTTCTGATGATATTCATAGTTCACCATGTTTTAAAATGATGGAAATATGTAAATACTGAAGATGAAAAGAAGCAAAATGTGTATGGTTTTCTAATATATTTTTCATTTTTGCTAACATATTTTTCTATAGCTAATGTAATGCGTTTGTTTAACACTCACTTTAGCTCTCAACAAATCATTCTATGATGGAGAAGCTGACATCAGTTATTGGAATAAATATGAGGACGCCATCTTTCATTTCTAAGGGAGAAACTATAAACACATGGTTTATTTTTATTTGTATAGTTTATTTCTCCCCTTTTGTATACTTTATATCATTAAATGTCACGAAGGAAAGAAAGAAGTGTAAGAAGCTAATGGCAGTGATGGGTCTTCGAGAGTCTGCATTCTGGTGAGTTACCTTGCTGCTTTGCCTGCGTATCACACCTTCAAAAACAGAAACCCATTAGGTTATAAAAGCAAGTTAGTCACACTCAGCAGTTTTTCTTGCGTGCATTCAATTGAGTAATTTGCTTACCCCTGTTACATTTTAAGATGCTAACAGTAGAAAATAAGGACTGTGCTTATGTTTCCTGGAGTTGAAGAATAGGAAATATGTGCTTGTATCAGTTAGCTAGAGCCAGAAAAATGCTACATAAAAAAACACCCTACAGGGTGCTTGGGTGGCTCAGTCATGTAAGTGTCCAGCTTCGGCTTTGGTCGTGATCTTGGGTTTTGTTGTTTCAAGCCCCACCTCAGACTCCATAAGTGCAGAGTCTGCCCGGGATTCTCTCTCCCTCTCTGTCTGCCCTTCCCTGCCTATGCATGCATACTCTTCCACTCTCTCTCAAAGTAAATAAATAAACTGAAAACCAGGGGCGCCTAGGTGGTTCAACTGGTTAAGCAGCGACTTCAATCAGGTCATGATCTCTCAGTTTATGCATTCGAGCCCCACATCGGGCTCTTTGCTGACAGTTCAGAGCCTGGAGCCTGCTTCAGATTCTGTGTCTTCCTCTCTCTCTGCCCTCCCCCTGGTGATACTCTCTCTCTCTGTCTTTCTCAAAAATAAATAAATGTTAAAAAAATTTTCTTTAAATTAAACACCCCAAAACCCAGGAAGCTCAAATGACAATCATTCCTTCCTTCGCATTTGGCTGTGGCATGGCTGGAGGCTGGCAGATCTAGTCTGGGCGTGGCTGGGCCTGGACCCCAGTTTAGGTCGCATCCACATCTGCCCACGTGTCTCTCAACCTCTGTGGGTCAGCAGCGTGGTGACATATCGTTCTCCTCGAGTCACGGAAGTGCAAGAGAGCAAGTCTCACTGCACAGCACATTTCAAGCCCCTGCTCGTGTCATATTTGATAAGATCCCATCTGTCAAAGCAGGTCATGTGGACAAATCCAAAGTCAAGAGGCAAAGAAGTGTGTTCTGCCCACCACAAAGCCAAAACAGGCCAAATAGCCAAGTCCAAGACCAGTGATATGGGTAATTATGTCCCTTCATGGAAGTGAAACAGGGACGGAGGAAGAGAAAAATTTGGACAGTAATCTCATTTACCACAATGTTATTAAAACCAATTCATATGGGCGGTCAGTAAAGATACTCCTTGGGTGGGACTAAGGATTAGATGAGACAATATATTTAAACTACTTAGCATAGGAACACCTGGGTGGCTCAGTCAGTTAAGTGTCTGTCTTTGGCTCAGGTCATGATCTTACAGCTTGTGGGTTCAAGCCCTGTACGGGCTCTGTGCTGACAGCTCAGAGCCTGGAGCTGCTTCATATTCTTTGTCTTCCTCTCTCTCTATCCCTCCCCAACTTGTGCTCTGTCTCTCTCTCTCTCTCTCTCTCCTCAAGATAAATAAACATTTAAAAAAATTGTAAAAGGGGCACCTGGGTGGCTCAGTTGGTTGAGTTGGTTGAGTGTCCAACTTTGGCTCAGGCCGTGATTTCCCAGTTAGGGAGTTTGAGCCCTGTGTCAAGATCTGTGCAGTCAGCACCGAACCTGCTTCGGATCCTCTGTCCCACTCTCTCTCTCTGGCCCTCCCCTGCCTGTATGCTCTTTCTCAAAAAAATGAATACACATTAAAAAAATAATTAAGTACCTAGCACAGACAGTGTTGGTGCTTGTAAGGCACAAGGCGCATAGTAATATGAATCTCTCTCTCTCCCCATTTATCTATTGACCCTTTTCCCATACACTTTGCGACAGCATACAATGCTAACAGTAATAGCAGCAAACATTGAACTTAATGTATTCCAAGGACACTCACAGTTCATAGTGCTATGATCCTTGTTCACAAATATGAAAACCAAGGCACAGAAAAGGTAAGATTTGTACCTAAGAAGACCCTCTTCTTTTAGCCATTGTGCTACATAAGTCACGTCAAGGTGATATTTTTCCCTTGATAGAAAAAGCTGTTAGTGAAATGTGCCAACAGAAATGCATACCATATTGTCTTTAGTGTTTTTGAAAGAAACATTACATGTGGATCCAGCTTTCCGAGTGCCTCAAATTGAGAAAAAACACAGCATAAAGTTTTCCTGATATAGAACTGTCCAGGTTACAAGGGTTTACTTTGGCTAGAAATTTTTAAAAATTGGCTAATATTGCATGCTATTGGGGAGAATGTTTGTAAATATGCTCTACACTGTCTTTTTTATCAAAGACAAGGAAAAGAGATTTTTAAAATGCAATATTATGCATAAAAAAGTATGGCTTTGACAATCTAACTTCCAAGAGGATACCATTACCAGATACAAGCATCCCAGTTATTGAAGTAAAACTGATACATTTCTTATAAAGTCGTGACCCTCTTGTATATTTTACCCTCTTCCACTTTCTCCCTGATTATACACAAATGTTGCTATAATCTACCTAAGCCAAATAAGGTTCAAGAATGTAGAATTTTCAAACACCATATGCAGAATTTTCTTTTTTTTTCCTTAAATAGTTTATCATCAAGTTGGTTTACATATAACACCCAGTGCTCATCCCAACAAGTGCTCTGCTCCATGCTGAATTTTCAAAGGATCCCGAGAGTAATTTCTTTTCTAAAACATTGTGAATAGATCAGAAGAATTATTTATATTACTCTCTTTATAACCATCCATATCTGTTATGTGAAATTTTAGTAATTTCAGTTCTACAAACCATAGTTATTTCAACAATTAAGAGAATTTGGTTTAAATACACATAAATTATGATTAGCTCCACTGGGGTTAATTTTTTTAAGAGGGTGGAACAGGAAAGTAAAGAGATAAAGCAAACGATTGAAAACAGAATTTTCTGCTTGAGTTTTTCCTTTATTAGATAATAATTATCTGTTTCCCTAACATTTTTCAAAGATGACTGATTTTTTTTCAATACCATTAAAAACTCATAGATCTAAACATGTCTTATTGGGTTCAAGCCACTGTAATTATAGTCTTATTGAAACCCAGATTGTCCCATCTTTGACCAAAGGGAGTCAAAGGTTAGTTTTGGATCCTTTTGGCAAGATTCCAAGTGGGTTTTTTTTTTTTTAAATAAATTCCTTGCTATTTTATGTGGCAAATTTATTTTAGTTGGAAAAAGTATTTCAAGAACATTGCATACTAGAAATTTTTGGGGGGGTATTTATTGGATTGGTCATTGTTTCTAGCCTTTTTCAACAGAAGAGTTGGAATAATGGTATATATTGTACATTTTATATATAGAATGATGCACACACCATGAAGGATAAATGTCTTATGAATTCATACTGATACTTACAATTCAGATATAGTGCTGGAGAACATTTAACCTCTCCCGTATTACTGCTGTGGCTCCTTTCCTATGCGTGCAGACATACAGAGAAGGTGAGAATTAGAATATCCATAATTATTCATTTGTTTTATCCAGAAATATACATATAATGGGTTAACAATACTAATAGTACTACTTCAGTATAATAACTGACAACAAAGTACTGTTTTCCCACATGCTCTCCCAATGCCCCCAATTGTTTATAATTCATGTGTCTATACTGACAGAGTACAAACCACACTTTCTCCTTTTAAAACATCGTGTAGTCTTAGTTCTACCAGTAACTACAATGTTTCTAGTTAAACATTTTCATTTTGGGTGGATTCATACTCAGTTTTTAAAAGTTTTATTGGAGAGAGAGAGCAGGGGAGAGGGGCAGAGAGAGAAAGAATCCTAAGCAGTCTCCACATTCAGCTCGGAGTCCCACAGGAGACTCAATCCCACAACCCTGGGATAATGACCTGAGCAGAAATCAAGAGTCAGACGTTCAACTGACTGTCCCGATTCATATTGAGTTTTAAAAAACTGTGTGTTCATTATTTTTCAGAGAGACACACACAGTACTAGTTGGGGAGGGGAAGAGAGAGAGGGAGACACAGAATCTGAAGCAGGCTCCAGGCTCTGAGCTGTCAGCACAGAGCCTTACGTGGAGCTTGAACGCAAAAACTGTGAGATCACAACCTGAAATGGAGTCAGACGCTTAACCAACTGAGCCACCCAGGTGCCCCGCTACTGAATTTGAAGAAACAGAATGCATGTACCCTTTACCTAGTTTCCCCCAATGATAGCATCTTGTAAAACTATCATATCACAATTTCATTATGGACATTGATATAGATAAGATACAGAACAGCTCAATTGTTCCATTGTTATAGCCACATTCAACTCTCTTCCTTATCCCCATCCCTAACCCCTGCTAACCACTAATCTGTTTACCATTTCTATAATTTTGACATTTCAAGAATGCTACGTAAGTGGAATCATGGTTCATCACCTTTAGGGGCTTCTTCCCCCCACTAAGTACAGTTTCCTGGCACTTCATCCAAGTTTGTATTTGTCAATGGTTTGCTCCTTTTTATTGCTGAGGACTATTCCATAGTAGCAATATCTCTGTTTAGCTGTTCAAACTTTGAAAGAGAGAAGAGTTGTTTCCGGTTTGGGAGTATTACAAATAAAGCTGCTCTGAACATTGATGTCCAAGTATTTATATGAACATAAGTTTTCATTTTCCTCAGGTAAATGCCCAGTGGTATGATTTCTGGGTTTCATGCGGTTCAGGTTTTTAAAAAAAAATTTTTTTAATAGTTTATTTATTTTTGAGACAGAGAGAGACAGAGCATGAGTGGGGGAGGGGCAGAGAGAGAGAGGAAGACACAGAATCTGAAACAGGCTCCAGGCTCTGAGCTGTCAGCACAGAGCCTGATGTGGGGCTCGAACCCATGAACCATGAGATCTGACCTGAGCTGAAGTCGGATGCTTAACCAACTGAGCCACCCAGGGAACCCTCATGTGGTTTAGTTTCATAAGAAACTGCCAAAGTGGTTTCCAGAGTGGATATACCGTTTTGTATTCCAAGTAATGATTTATTAATGACAAAAGCATGTATTATAGAAAATAAGTGTATTTGAGTTGGTTCATGTTTTTATACATATATTGGAATTTACATACATCTAATACGCTTATTAATTCATTGAACATAAGGGGCGCCTGGGTGACTTAGTCGGTTAAGCGTCCGACTTTCACTTAGATCATGATCTCGCGGTTCGTGGGTTCGAGCCCCGCATCGGGCTCTGAGCTGACTGCCAGCTCGGAGCCTGGAGCCTATTTCAGTCTGTATCTCCCTCTCTCTCTGACCCTCCCCTGCTCACGCTGTCTCTCTCTCTCTCTCCCCTAGAAATAAATAAAAATATTTAATATAGTCCATTGTTTCTCATTTCTTCTTAACTAATCTTCATGTTTCATATTCTCTTCACCTCAGTCTATGACCAGCGCTTTCAAGAAAAATACTCTTAATTATTAGGAGTGGATGTTTTCCTGTAGGAAGGTTTACCCGATCTTCAAAAATTAATTGAATAAGATTGTTAGGTATTTAGTTTGTAAAAGATTTTTAAACTTTCATAGTAAGTAATGAGAGCATGAGAGAGGAAAACTATGATACTGTTTATTGAGATATAATTGATCTATAATATATTAGTTTTCCCGTGCAAAACATAATGATTCAGTATTTGTATATATTGTGAAACGATCATCATGGTATGTCTAGTTAGCCTCTATCAACCACACAGATTTACACTTTTTCTCCAGATGAGAACTTTAAGGATCCACTCTCTTAGCAACTTTCAAATAGATCAGACCATGTTATTAACTATAGTTAATAATAATATAGTCACTATGCTGCATATTACATTCCCACGACTTACTTTAGTAAAAGGCAAAAGATTTATTCGATCTAAAGAGAAACCAGAGTATTCCCATGACTTACTTTATAACTTGTCCATCCTTTTTGGTCACCTTCACCCATTTTGCCTGCTCCCTCCCCCACCTCTGGCAACCACCAATCTGTTCTCTGTATCTATGAGTTTGTTTTTTGTTATGGATATGTGTATTTTTCTTTTAGATTCTACATATAAGTGAAATTATGTGGTATTTGTCTTTCTCTGTCTGACTTATTTTACTTAGCATAATGCCCTCAAGATCCATCTATGCTGTCACAAATGACGAGGTTTCCTTCTTTTCTGTCACGGAATAATATTCTGTTGTGTGTATATCTGTATGTCTGTATAGATATCTATCATCACATTGTTTTGTCCTTTCATCCATTGATGGACACTTAGGTTGCTTCCAAATCTTGGCTATTGTAATTAATGCTGCAGTAAACATGGGGGTGCAGATCTCTTTTTGAGTTCGGGTTTTAATTTCCTTCAGATAATACCCAGGACTAGAATAGGTAGATCATTTGGTAGTTCTATTTGTAGTTTTTTGAGGAACTTCCTTACCACGAAAGCTATAATCATTTTTTTCCTCAGATTTTATTTAATATTAAGTCATGTTCCTTATATGTTTTGGATATTTTTTAAATATAAGTTATTGTCAAGTTAGCTAACTTTCAGTGTATACCATGTGCTCTTGGTGTTGGGGGTAGATTCCCATGATTCATTGCTTATACACAACACCCAGTGCTCATCCTAACAGATGTCTTCCTCAGTGCCCGTCACCTATTTTCCCCTCTCCCCCTCATCTCCCATCAACCCTGAGTTTGGTTCTCTGCATTTAAGAGTCTCTTATGGTTTGCCTCCCTCTGTTTGAAACTATTTTCCCCCTTTCCTTCCCCCATGGTCTTCTGTTAAGTTTTTCAAGTTCCACATATGAGTGAAAACGTATATCTGTCTTCCTCTGACTGACTTATTTCACTCAGTATAAAAACCCTCCAGTTCCATCCATGTGGTTGCAAATGGCAGGATTTCATTCTTTCTCTTGGCCAAGTAGTATTCCAGTGTATATATAAACCACATCTTCTTTATCCATTCATGTGTTGTTGGACATTTGGACTCTTTCCATAATTTGGCTATTGTTGAAAGTGCTGCTGTAAACATTGGGGTCCATGTGCCCCTATGGATCAGAACTCCTGTATCCTTTGGATAAAAAGCTATAATCATTTAAGCTTGCCTTTTGTATGCATGGAAATGCTATTCACCTGTGCTAGTAATAACAATTTAGCTTATGTACTACACAAGATTATATAAAAGGATTTAAAATGTATTATTTGTACAAAGTGCCACACTTGCGCTGAAAGCCCTATGTAAATATAGAAGGTATTTGGCAGTTTATTAGTATTTTCATGAAAGGTCAGTTTTTAAAAGCGAGAGCCATTTTCATGTTTAAACATATCTTTCCATCTGTTTCCACAAATTTTCACAAACAACCATGCTTTGGCCATTGTGATATAGCATCACCACTATATGACACTAATGCCCACGTGACCTCTTGCTTTATTTTAGTTTTGTGCTTCCTAGGTGCACTGCAGTATTCTCATTGATAAAAACAACACGCATACTGGTTAATATCAAAAGTCATAAGAGGATAAAAAATGAATAAAAAATGAGCTTTACTTAAATCTGAGAGATTTCAATTAAACATCAAGAAAATTTTATACCAAAAGGAGGTTAGTATCAGGAAGTTTAAACAGGAGATTAATGTATTTCCATTTCATATTTCTTTAGTCACTTGGCTGCAAGAATCAGATTATATGTTGTTGTATTACGTTTAAATTCGTTCAACAGTTGGGAAGTAATTATAATAACAGCAAAACTAAAGGGTTCGTGCACAGTTATGAACCCTCTAACAAACTTATTTAACCCTCAAACCAACCATATGAGACAGTGACTGTTCATTCCATTTCATAGATGAGGGTGAGAAAGGAAAAGTCACTCGCCCACAATCACATGACTAGAAAGTGCACAACTCCAGTTTTAGAGTAAATTTGACCTTGGTGTGTTTGCTCTCCGAACTTGTCCTCACAACCGTTGTGCATATTATATTGCCTCTTCTGACATTTACATGTTTGTGATATTCTAAATTAACTTGTTTCTACCGTAGGCTCTCCTGGGGATTCATGTATGCTGGCTTCGTATTTATCCTGTCCATTTCTATAGCTCTGATCATAATATTGACCAAAGCCGTAGTGATCGTTGGCTTCATGGTGATATTCACGCTTTTTGTCCTATATGGCCTGTCTTTGGTGAGTTGACAAAACATATCTCTGCTCCACATCTCAGATATATGAACAAATGATGTTTCTTCAGGATATTGGTATGGCATAGTCACTAATTTGATGTCGTATTTTCTATATATTTTGAGAAAAGTTTGTGACAATGAGAGAAATTGATTAATACTGCTCAAAGTGATTCTCAAAGGAAAAAATATATACCAATTGGAACTCTTCTTTCTTCCTTCAGATAGCATTGGCTTTCCTCCTGAGTGTGCTGATAAAGAAACCTGTTCTTACTGGTTTGGTTGGATTTTTCTTCACTATATTTTGGGGATGTCTGGGATTCACTATATTATACAGACAACTTCCTTCATCTTTGGGATGGATCTTAGGTCTTTTTAGCCCCTTTGCCTTCACTACTGGAATGGCTCAGGTAAAGAACACAATGATTTTATGCTTTTATTTATTAGATTTTCAAAATTGTTGAAGAGTTTGGTGCTTCATGAAACTTAGTGATCAATCACCCTCTATTTTAAGAAGTTCTGCTGTGTTCTGTTGTGAATTCTCATCAAAGTAATAAACAAAGCACATGGATCATTTGTAAAATCCCAGAAAATTTAAAGTAGAAAAATAATAGCCCACTGTCCAAGCACTCAGTTTTACTGATTTGTGTTCCCATTTTAAAGAGGCAGTAAAATTGTGAAGGTTATGAGTAATAAATGGGGGCAGACCGCATGAATCCATCTCAGCTCTGCCCACATACCAGCTGGGTAACCTTGATGACCGTAGCCTTCCTTTCTTCATCTGCAGAATGGGGATGTCAGTAGAAGTCACCTCATTGGGGGTAAATGTGAGGGCTGATTGTGTTATTGTACATGCATAATGCTAGAACAGTCCCTGACACCTGCTGTGGGACTGTGAGCTATTGTTTTTATTATCTTTAAAATTAGCCACCTGGAGTCTTCGATACTTATTTGATCCTTTCATGTTCCTACAGTATCTTATCCTTAGCATTTTTATATTTCCTTTAAATGTCTTCTAATTTCACTGCCCGCTCTGAGTTTTTCTTCCTAGAATATGTTATTTTTGGTTCCTTGTCCACTTCTCTAAATCTTCTTTAAAACTTCAGTGATAATCAATTAGTCCGTTAAATTTCTATTCTTTAGTTGTTTTATTTCTTCTACAGCATTGCCGACTCTTGGGACAATTTTATTTGTAAAAAGAAACTCTGCAGACAATGTCACTGTGCATTTTTGAAAAAAGGGCTATTAAGATATGAATTATATTTGTCTAGGCAGCACCAGTTAATTAGAAAAAAACTTTAGCTTTTATAGGCTCATCTACCTGTTATTTTATTCTTTTTAATGTCAGATTACACACATGGATTATTACCTGATTGATGTTACTTTTCCTGATCCATCTGGAGAGTCACACATAATGATGGTTACTTTCCTCATTTTAGCACTCGACACTCTTCTCTATCTGATATTAATGTTATATTTTGAGCGAGTTTTGCCTGGTAAGTAATATTGTGGTTCAAGTTGAATTTAAAGCAGTTATACTTCTTGTAAGGCAATGTCTTAATGTTTGTCTACTTGTAATTTAAGAAACGTTTCTGATGGCAGAGGAAAGGAAAAAGTTTCAGAATAATAGAATCTCCTCATTTTTATCCCACTACTTAACAGGCTGACTAGAATTTCTTGGTTAAAACATTTTGGTTAAAAATAACTTGTATTTTGTTTGAGTTTTATTTTTTATAAAGGTAGGGTGTGTGTGTGTGTAAGTGGGAGAGAAAAGAAAATAACTATAACAGCTATTGAATATGATGATGCTTATTAGTGGTTGAATCGAACTCATGGACGTTAAGATAGTTCATTAAATAGCTCTTGCTAATATTTGGCTCTACTAAACTTGTTCTTGTGCATCTCAAGAATATGAAGGAAAAACACAGTTAACTAAAGTTAATGGATGACCTCTTTTCTTTCATCTTATGATATTTTTAACATTTCTTTATTTTTGAGAGAGAGAGAGGAGGAGCAAGGGAAGGACAGAGAGACAGGGAAACACAGAATCCGAAGCAGGCTGCAGGCTCTTAGCTGTCAGCACAAAGCCAGAAGCGGGGCTTGAACTCTGACTGCGAGATCATGACCTGAACTGAAGTCAGACACTTAACCAACTCAACCACCCGAGTGCCCCTCTTTTTCTCATCTTTTATGATCAGCATAACAAGAATGCTTTTTAATAGTGTTATAAAAGTTAGTAAAATAAACTCTACAAATGACTTTTTTTTTAAATTTTTTTTAATGTTTTATTTATTTCTAGGAGAGAGAGAGAGAGAGAGAGACAGCGTGAGCAGGGGAGGGTGAGAGAGAGAGGGAGTCACAGACTGAAACAGGCTCCAGGCTCTGAGCTGGCAGTCAGCACAGAGCCCGACGCGGGGCTCGAACCCACGAACCGCGAGATCGTGACCTAAGCAAAAGTCGGACGCTTAACCGACTAAGCCACCCAGGCGCCCCTCTACAAATGACTTTTAAATTAATACTAAATTCCTACATAGCATAAATATATAATCCCAGGAACTAATATTCCCTTCTGCCCACCTGAAATCCACGAACTGTACTCATACATAATTCCTTCTCATGTGTCAGCATATGGATAGTTCTGTCCTTTTTAAACCCTATTATTTTGATGTCTTTCTTTACCTGGTTTCTAGTCCAGGTATTCTATTTTTAAGACACTTATAGTTTCCTTCTAGACTTTTATTTGTTTCATATTCTCTCTCTCTATTACACTATTATTTTAGGATTTTATGCCCTATGTCTTTCATTTGTGCCATTAATATAATTTCATTTTAAAATTTCATCATCTATCATTTTGAAATACTGTGCTTCTTACGCATTCAGCAAATTGCCTTTGAAATTATTTGGCAAAATGTTTCTTGTGAATAAACAAGTTCTTAAAATTAAATGAGATTTCTTCTTTGAACAAAAAGTAGCATATAAAGAGTAATTGGAAAAATTTGCTGTCCTCTCAAACCTGCACAATGGACCTTTGCCCCCCCAGATCTGCTCTTCTGGTATGTGCGGTCTCTGTCGTTCACATGCATGGCAGTGGACTTAACAATTCCTTTTTGCTGAACTTCTTCACAGTGTCTCCAGCTAAACTCTTCTCCATTTTCTCATCATCTCTTTTTCCTTTTGGAATTCCTTATTTTCTCTTTTACCCATTGTTTATCAAGTCAATTCGTTTTTAGCCTGCCAAGCCCAGGAGCCTAGTAGATAAAATTGAACCCTGCCTTGTGAATATAGGGAGACGTAGTTGCTAATGCTCTGAAGTTGATTAGCCCCTGTCACAGCTCTGTGCCATGTTACTTATTTGCCCTCAATTTTTGTGTTTTTTTTCCTACATTTAAAATACTTTGGGGGGCCTGGGTGGCTCATCTGGTTAAGCGTCTGACTCTTGGTTTCGGTTCAGGTCAGGATCTTATGGTTCGTGGGTTCAAGCCCTGCCTAGGGCTCTGTGCTGTCAGTGGCGCCCGCTTGAGATTCTCCCTCTCTCTCTCTGTAAAAACTTTAAAAAATACTGTTTTCTCTAATATTTCCATAGAATTTAATTTGTATTTTAATAGGTAAATATCTACTTTTTTGTTATTCAGTTCTCTACACATTCATAATTAGCTTACTTTTGTTTTCAGGAGCTTCCCTAGCCCTCCATCCTCCACCATGGGAAGGCACAATAAGTAATATTTATGTCCAGGAAAATAGAATTAACTTTTCCCCTTCCTGTGTATTAATATAACCATAAAATTTTAGCAGTCGGTATTTAGTCCAGCATTTGGTGGAGGCCTCACATCTTAGAGATGCCGAAACAGTGGTCTGGAGAGGTTATATGACTGGCCCAAAATCAGAGTTAGCAGAATTCGGATTAAAACTTTGAAATTGAATAAACACTCCCCTTTGGGTTTTTGTTTTGTTTTGTTTTGTTGTTTTTTGTGCGTTTTTTTTTACAAAGATTTTAATACTCATTATATTTATTGTTTATTTCCTGTCTTTTGTCTCTAGAATGTACATCCCCCTGAGGAAAAGATGCTTGCTTATTATTACACTGATAGCTCCAAGCATCTAGAGTAGTTTTTATCACATATTAGGTACTCAATAAGTTTCTGGTGAAATAAATCAATGCATATGTCTGTCTTCCTATTTTAACTATTTTAACTTTCTTCAGGATAAACAATGTGTTTTTTCACCTAGAGGCCACCTGATGCCTAAGAAGTCTTCAATAAATATAAGCTGAAGGAATACAAGAATGTCTTCCTTTTTTCACTCAGCTTCAAATAAAAAATCTATTTCCTCTTTTTCTTCTTCTGCTTCTCCCTTCCCCCTCCTTCTGCTTCTCCTCAGCCTCTTCCTCTATCTTACCTTCTCTTCCCCCTTTTTTTCTCCCATAAATTTGATTCAGTCTCACTTCCCTTTATTTGGGTACTCTATGTATTCTTTAATCCAAAGTTTTACAAACATCTCTCAAATCCACATTTTGAGAGTAGGTTATATTTAAATGTTTTTACATTTATAAGTCTTTTTCTAAGCCAAAGTTTCCCATGAAATTGAAACTAACTAGATAGCAGATTTCATCTGTATATCCGTTTAACATATAGCTTTGTATTAAAGTTTATGTGGGTCAGCAGTCTTCCATAGGTAGCACTGGAAACACTTCTATAAATTAGGAACTAAGTGTAACGTAGGAAGTGTGAAAGGAGATGATAGCACAAGGCTCTGTGAAAGGGAAAGTCCTAAGGTTGGCGGGTCAGGAAAAGATTGGAGGAAGCCACTTCAGTTGCATTTATAGGATAAGAAAGTTTACCTGGTGGACAAGAGTGCAAAAAATTTTTTTTGCAGCCTAAAGGAACAGCATATGTGCCCAGCAATGGGAGACAGCTGTAGTGTAGGGGAAATTAAAAATTGTTAGATAGAGCTAGTGCATAGTTTGGCTGTGAGATGTGGTTTTAGGGTAGGAATTAATAACCAGCTAACAAGAAATTAGAAGGGGAGATTCTTTTTTTCCAAATACACATGTCTGTGCATAGGCACACACAGCACAGTATCGTATGTAAAGATCCCAAAGATGCCGAGGTTACCCTCTGATGAAGTCCCTCTGCAGATGTCTGTTCAGGCTACCTCGATGGGTCCCACACAGAATTTGGGATTCAGTCCTCCCGAGCAGCTCTGGTATCGGTGGTCAGGCCCAACAAAGTTTCGTCTTGTTTTTGTTGAGATGAGAAAATATGTGAAACTTATTTTTAGCCCTTAATTCTTCATTTGGAAATCGTCTTCCATGTGAGATTATAGCCTTTAAATATCTATATTTTTACAGTGAAGATATTTTTTTTTTCTCTTTTGCCATGACGATCCTAGCAAGATAGGAGGTTTTCAACTGTTCTTAATGGATGCAATATGTTTATTTTAAAAAATATTATTTCGGGCGCCTGGGTGGCTTAGTCGGTTAAGCGTCCGACTTTCGCTTAGGTCATGATCTCACGGTCATGGGTTCGAGCCCCGCATTGGGCTCTGTGTTGACTGCCAGCTCAGAGCCTGGAGCCTGTTTCAGTCTGTGACTCCATCTCAATCTGACCCTCCCCTGCTCAAGCTGTCTCTCTCTCTCCTATAAATAAATAAAAATATTTAAAAAAATAAAAAATATTATTTGCCCAAGAAATCCAAGAGCCTTAGAACCTCTGGTGCAGGAAACAGAGAGAGATTGATCTAATTTCTGTAGGATCTTTCCCTGATGAGGGAAAGTTTTAGGAAGCTTGCTCTGGCGGCTGTGGGGGGGATGGGCTCAAAGCAGGTGGACATCTTAATAATCTGTGTTAGAGGGAGACGGGGACCAAACTGGAGAGCAGTGTAATTTACAGAGGAGGACAGACTCAAGAGATACTTAGGAGGGAGAAACAATCTGATGTGGTAGTTAATTCTATATGAGCTGGAGGAAGTGAGAAAGGGAGGAGACGAGGGTGACTATTGCCTCTGGTCTTGGCTCATGGGGCAGTGGACAAAATGCCACTTAATTAGGACAGCAAAACAGGAGTGAACAAAATTCACATGACTTCTGACATATTTTTTTAATGCCATAATTTCTACAAATAACATGAACGTCTTTCTCAGTTTTAGTCTCCCCCCCCTTTTGAAAACATTTTCTTTGCTTTCTCACAGTATAATTTCCATTTCTGGCTTGTTCTGCTCTAGATGTTTCTACATATTTTCACTCTTGAGCATTTCTGCTTTCCCACATTATCTCTCTAGAACCACAACACATGATTCTTTTCATTTCTCTTTTTGAAGATGTTCAGTTTCTAGAACTATCTTTCTCATATATTTTTCTGTATGTCTCCAACATTGTCTGTTTTCCTACTTCTAGAAGTCGTGTGTTGTATCTACTCTCCTTAACTTTTCTTTTGGGTGGTAGTTTATTCCCTTATATTAGCCTCCAGTAATAGCTTATCATGTGACATTATTCTCTGTTGTTTATCTTGTAGCGCCTGAAAAATCGATTCCACTTCCTCCTCCTGTCACTAATACATTCCCATTTTGTGGAGATGTCATTAAAGTGCCATCTCATTTTATTTACTTTGGGTCTTTAGATCCAGAATTGACGTTCCTATTATTACCCTATTCTCCTTTCTTACCATTAAACTGTAAGTTCATTTAAATGTCAAGCAATTTTTATTATATGTACAGCCCATTTTGCTGTGGAATGATATGAACTGCCTTGATGAAAATCCTTGTATAATTTAATGAGGCCATTAAAAACTTCAAGGATCTTCTATCTGGTTGAAAAAAATTTTTTACGTAAAATAAAATAAATGAAGACATGATAGAAACAGTTGGATTTGTATTTCTTTCATTTTTCTCATGGGTTTTTAATATTTCCCGTCTGTCCACTTCTTATCCCTAATTTTATTTTTCTTCCCTTTTACCCCTTTCCTATCTGCCAGCAATTATCCAGCCTTTTGTCTACCTCTCTGTTCTTACTAACCATTTTTTCTGTTTTGTTTTATTCTCCAGACTTTGGAAAGATTGACTTTTAATTTATAGTGACTGATACACTTATTATTTTCAATGTTCATTCTTCCATGTCACCAGAGTAATATTTCTTCATATACTATATCAGGAATCAGTTTACACAACTGCTCTTTTTAAGCAGCCAAATGTCTGGAGATCCCGAGAATGAGAAAGTCCTTGATGTTTCATATGATTTCCAACAGCTACCACTTTGTCTTCTTGGACAAGCATTTTTATTTTTACGAACCTGAGCTGAGAATTCATCAAAGGCCAAAACACCATCTTAACTTTAAAATCCTTGTAATACTTTAGGGGCGCCTGGGTCGCTCAGTTAGTTAAGCATCCAACTTCGACTCAGGTCATGATCTCACAGATCATGGGTTTGAGGCCTGCATCAAGCTCTATGCTGACAGGGTGAAACCTGGAGCCTGCCTGAGATTGTGGGTCACCTTCTCTCTCTACCCCTCCTCTTCTTGGCTCTCTGCCTCTCTCTGTCTCTCAAAAATGAATAAATGTTAGAAAATTTTTTTAAAAATCTGGAAAAGCTAAATCATTAGTGTATAGAAAAAATTGGCATCAAGTTTCACTAGGACAGATGTCATTCTTTACTGATATAGAGAATTGATTCAGTATATAATAATATTCACCTTGATTGATCAGATGAAGGTGGCTGCCCGCATTCACCATTGTTTTTCCTAAAGTCTTCATTTTGGTCCCACCGTCAAAACACTCATCACGAAGTCTTTGAGGATGAAATCAATCCCGAGCATCACCCTGATGACTCTTTTGAACCAGTGCCTCCGGAATTCCATGGAAAAGAAGCCATAAGGTAACTAACAAATTATATACACTGAGATAAGATTTTAGTAAACTAGGGTACAGCAAGACCAACCACGGGTCAAATGTTAAAGGTGATGTGCTTTTGAAAGTTCCATTCTTTCAGGTATTTTTGCCATCATTCTAAACTTCTTTCATTCATCATTTTAAAAGTAAATATTAGGGCTCCTGGGTGGCTCAGTTGGTTGAGCATCTGACTCTTGATTTTAGCTCCGGTCATGATCTCACTGTGGTAAGATCAATCCCCGCATTGGGTTCTCCCTCCCTCTCTCTCTGCCCCTCTCCTGCTCTCTCTCTTTCTCTAAATATATAAATTAATATGAAATTTTGCTGTTGATATTTTCAGCACCACAATTCAGTAGCTCTATTTATTTTCTTGTTCTTTATCTTTTACTTTCTATCCCTACTATTTATAATCTCCTCTCCACATTGTCTTCTAATAGACGCACATTTTGATAAGTAGGTATGCGCATGTATAACGCACGTAATACACATTTCCAATTTAGATTATCTGCCTTTAGAGAATGTATGGATGATGGCTTCGAAGTCAAAGATTACTTCATAATTTAGTAGCTTTGTAACTTTTTGCTAACCTGCGTGAAATCTCTTAACCTCATTTTCTTCATTTCTAAGAAATACATAATGTAATTCAACAGTATAATGGCTTCTTGAGGAATTTAAAGAATCAGTGAGATAATTAAATATGAGTCTTACATAATAGGAGTTGGATATATACTAGTTTTATATCTCTATCCAAATTGGTGTGGTTGATTGAAAGGGCATAGAAATAAATAATGCAAAGGGAAGCATTAGTAAAAGTTTTCAGGGAAACCCAGGAAGATGTATAGACAATGACTTCCTGATTCTTAATTTCATCATAATTTAATGCTTGCTTTTCTAGGTGTTTGCTTCTTTATTAAAAGAGATCATTGAGAAATACTCCTAAATTACATTCCATTTATGTGAAGTTTTCTGAGGAGAAAATGGAGCACAGTGATTACAATGTGGTCTATGGATTTAAACCACCCAGTTTGAATCCTGGCTTTGCTGCTTATTGACTGTGTGGTCCCAGCTAAATTACTTGTCTATACCTCCGTTTCTGTATCTTAAAAATGAGCATAACACTGGTAGGAAGTTTGTTATGAAGAGTAAATGAGCTACCATGTGTAAAGCTTTGAGAATAGTGCCTGGCCCAAAATAGGCATTCAATGACTGCTATTAGGAATATCCAAAAGAAATTCAATCAGATATTCTTACATCAGTTCACTTATTTTGAAACACTTAGGTCAACGGTGATTGGCAAAGGTATCTGGGAGGAGGGGACATGAGGAGGGAGATGACAGAGAAAGGATAAAACTAAACCTGACACGGCAAAATCAAAAAGAAAACCCTCTATTTCCTGGAGTTGGAACTTCTCAAATTCTGCCATTGCTAGTAGTCTTTTAAGCCCTCGCACCTGTGTGAAAACTTATATAGTTGGGGCGCCTGGGTGGCCCAGTCAGTTAAGCATCCAACTTCGGCTCAGGTCATGATGTCACGGTTCATGGGTTCAAGCCCCACATCAGGCTCTGTGCTGACAGCTAGCTCAGAGCCTGGAGCCTGTTTCAGTCTGTGTCTTCCTCTCTCTCTGACCCTCCCCTGCTCACACTGTCTCTCTCTCTCAGAAATAAATAAATGAAAAAAAAACCTTATATAGCTATTTCAGTTTATCTTGTTCCTTGTGATGAACTTACAGTAACTGTGTTGACCCCAGAAAATTTACTTAAATTAACAAGGTACATTAGGACTAAATTACATTAGTCAGGACAAAAACTCATCTTTCAGGAACACAGTTCAGTAAATACTCAGAACCCTAACCCTGACCCACATTAATCCAGGGGGCAGTGAAGATGGGTATGGTTGTGTGGTCATTCAGTGCTCTTAAGTGGATGCCACCAGCAATCCTGTTCCATGGTCTTAGATCCACATTGACAGGAACTGAGTGTGCTCCGGGAAACCTAAGAGAGCTCTAGCCTGTCTAAACCCCGCACACTCTGTCGTCTATCTTCACAGCTCCTCCTTCTATACTTGATAGTCCAACATGCTTCAAGCCAGCTCCTCTGATCATTCTGGGCCGGACTATTTCTGCTGACAAGTTAGTTACGCCATTCGTTTATTCCTCATCCATTAAACCCTCTGCCAGATCTAGGATTCAAAGATTAATGACGGTTGTTCACATTGGGACAGGCAGAGCCCCGGGGGAAGCAGGCGCTTGTATAGATAATTAGTAAAAAGGGTGGTAGAGATGAATGCAGAGAATAACAAAGCGTAGAGAAGGATCATTCAGCTCAGCCTAAGGGTGGTGGAAAAGGTCAGAAGGAGATAACTGTTGAGGTGAGCCTTATGGAAGGAAAAGGTCTTGGTCACATAAATTGTGGCGAGGCATGTGCAGGTCCTTCCAAACAGGAAGTATGGTGTGAGCAACATAGCACAGCAAGAAACAATGTGTGTGTGTATAAAGAATGATAAGAAAATGACATTGCTGAGCTCAAAGCACAGGCTAGAAGAGGGAGAAGCAAATCTTGAGAGGTATGGGCCAAATCAGATCGCATAGGGTTTTGTTTGCCAAATTAAGAAGGACAAGCTGTCCTGTACAGTGTGAGAAATCACCAAGTAATTTTATGGTGGCAAATTATACAACTAGACCTTTGTTCGACAGCTTTATGGATTGGATTCAAAGGCAACACAGCTGGAGAGATGGAAACATGTCAGAGGTTGTCAGTCTGGGTTTGGTCAGGAAAAGTGAGTTGCTGGAAATACCACGTAAAGGGATTTGGCATGGGAATGAGGAATTCATAAAAAAGTAGTTAGGTTAGAAGAGGAAGGGTCAAGAAAGTTGTAGCCAGAAAGTCAGAGGAACAGCCGCTGAGGACCTTATCCTGATGTATAGAAATGGTGGGTCTCAATAAGTTTGCTGGTAAACCACTGCGAATGTTGAGATTCTCTGGACAAATTCCCACCAGTTTTATTAATCTGTGGCAGCAAAGTGGGGTTTGTCAAGAAGTCTCAGAAGCTGCTACAGATCTGGAATTTGCCCATGTTTCTGCCCTCATGACCTTCAGAGAACAAATGGCCTGCCTTCACTTCTGCTTTCCAAATCTTGCCCAAGTTTTCCGAAGTCTAATACAGAAAAGTATTTCTGAGAAATGTAGTCTGTGGTGTGTCCTCTGCTTTGGAGAAAAAGGGCAAGGCTGATGTAGATGGATAACTGACCATCAAATTCAGAGGTTGAGTTGAGAGATGGTAAAAATCTGCACTGGAAGTTCATAGAAAAGTGATAAAGGGGCAAATTCAAATAATTTCACAAAGTTAAATTCATAAAGCCATATGGTTAAATGATAATAATTTTGTGGACCACAGGTTGAGGTGAGAAAGAGGTAAGGAAAGAATCATGGACGTTTCTTAGGCATCTAGTTGGCGTTCCTGGGTGGATGCTGAAAACACCAACTGAAATAGAAAACTGAAGTGGGGTTGGTTTAGAGGGAAAAATAATATACCTGTGTGGTTTTGAGATGAAGAGATACAGCAAAAAGCTGAATATGTACCTTTGAGACTTTGAAGAAAGGCATAAAAGACACAAATCTGGGAATCATTAGAATCTAAGTAAGAGTTGAAGCAATGAGAATGGGTAGTATTGTATAGCAGAGATTTGAGAATAAGAAAAATAGTTGGTCAAGTGTGGAATCCAGTGTAAGGAATCCATAAAGTATGCGGAGCGGAAAAGTAAGAGACTGATATGGAAATCAAGAGGGTAGAAGGTAAGGAAATAAAGCCTTGGAAGAAGAAAAGAGCAAGCAAAAACTTAATATAGTATCTATTTTTTATTGTTTATCTTATTTTTGAGAGAGAGAGATCGAGAGAGCGAGCATGTTAGAGCACAATAGGGGTAGCAAGAGGGAGACAGAGGATCCGAAGCAGGCTCCACGCTGTCAGCACAGAGCCCCACGTGGGACCTGAACTAATGAACCATGAGATCGTGACCTGAGCTGAAGTCAGATGCTTAATCAACTGAGTCATGCAGGCACCCCATTAATGCAGCATCTGTTAAACGGTGACTAGGAAGTGTCCATTGAATTCAGTAGAATGTTACTGATGTCTTCACTGAGGATAGTTTATTTTTTGTAATGTTTATTTTTGAGACAGAGAGAGACAGAGCCTGAGCTAGGGAGGGGCAGAGCGAGAGGGAGACACAGAATCCAAAGCAGGCTCCAGGCTCCGAGCTGTCAGCACAGAGCCCGACATGGGGCTCAAACTCCCTGACCATGAGATCATGACCTGAGCTGAAGTCAGATGCTTAACTGACTGAGCTACCCGGCCCCCCCTGAGGATAGTTTCAGTGGAGTTGTAAGGTCAGAAGCTACGTCGCTTTAGGTTGGGAGTAAATGTGAGATAAAGAAATGGAAACAGAGAGTAGAGACTATATTTTGATACATTTGCCCGTGGAGGAGAAGAACAATTAAGTAATAGCTGGAGAAGGGTGCAGGACTGAGGGAAAGGCTCTCCTCACTCCTCCCTTCCTCTCCTGCTCCTGTTTGTCTTTCCTTCCTTTCTAACAAATGGTGGCTTTGTCTTCATTTGCAAACTGAGAACAAACTGGAATACATGAAATGCCGGAGTTTGATAAGCGTGTGAGCAGGTCTGGGTGGGATGAGCTTTCACCACTGCCCTCCTCGGACCCCCTGACAGAGGTAACATCCTTCCCTGTGAGGTTCAGGCGCAGTTGCAGACTTCAGTATTGGCAGTTAACATCATCTCTGTCATTAGAATACTCACCTCAAAGTTGCTTACTCTTCTTTCAGAATCAGAAATGTTAAAAAAGAATACGATGGAAAGCCTCAAAAAGTAGAAGCGTTGCAAGGTAAAGAGAAGAACTTCATTGTTTTGATGATTTTTTTAAATTAAAACAAATTTTTTTTGTTTCCTGAAAATACGAACAGTCATAGTGCAAAATCAGGGAATGGATATAGATAAGAAGAAAAAAAACCCACCACATTTCTACTATGAGGGCAAGTCCTTGATAATATATTTATATATATAATATCTTAAAAAAATAGGATTGTGCTGATAATGCTCGTTTTTTTCTTTTTTGTTTTTCATTTTATTTAGGTCCAAGTTAGTTAACATATAGTGTAGTAATGAGGTCAGGAGTAGAAATTAGTGATTCATCACTTACATATAACACCCAGTGCTCATCCCAACAAGTGCTTTCCTTAATGCCCATCACTTCCCTCCAGCAACCCTCAGTTTGTTCTCTGTATTTAACAGTCCCTTATGGTTTGCCTCCTTCTGTTTTAACATTATTTTTGCTTCTCTTCCCCATGTTCATCTGTTTTGTTTCTTAAATTCCACATATGAATGAAATCATATATTTATCTTTCTCTGATGGACTTATTTTGCTTAGCATAATACACTCTAGTTCTGTCCACGTTGTTGCAAATGGCAAGATTTCATTCTTTTTGATCACCGAGTAATACTCCATTGTGTATGTGTATATATATACATACTCACACACCACATCTTCTTTTTTTTTATTTCTTAAATTTAAAAAAAATTTTTTTCCTTTGGCTCTTGAACTTATTTATTTATTTTTTTACAAATAGTTTATTGTCAAATTAGTTTCCACATAACACCCAGTGCTCATCCCCACAAGTGCCCTCCTCCATGCCCATCCTCCCCGCCCCCCAACATCCATCAGTCCTCAGTTTTTGTCAGCATTCAAGAGTCTCTCATGGTTTGCCTCTCTCCCTTTCCCCCACCATCTTCCCCCTTCTTCTCCCTCTTGTTTCTCAGTTAAGTTCCTCCTAATCCTCCTATACGTGCAAACATATGATATTTGTCCTTCTTTATCCATTTGTCAGTCAATGGACATTTGGGCTCTTTCCATAATTTGGCTATTGTTGATAATGCTGCTATAAACATTGGGGATGCATGTGCCCCTTTGAATCAGCATTTTTGTATCCTTTGGATAAATACCTAGTAGTGCAATTGCTGGGTCGTAGGGTAGTTCTATTTTTAATTTTTTGAAGAACCTCCACACTGTTTTCAAGTATCTGCACCAATTTGCATTCCCAGTACTTATGCTAGTTTATAATCTGTGACTTGGATTTGTCAAACCGAGCTTGAAGTATCACGACACTTGTTTTTACTTTCAGAGAACTTTTCATCACTGTTTTGGGCAGTGGTTTGCCTTGTTTTTATGTCCTCTGACAATATAATTTCATCCGTTGTCAATCTTCAGAGAATCTCTGAAAAGTTCTAGTGTGCTAATGGAACTCTATGGTTTTTTCATGGAGTTAGATAATTTTTCAAATATTAAAGAAAAAAAAGTATCAAGTCCTAAGCTCTCATATAAAAAATGTCTGTGACATGTCCTGGGTCCCAGCAAGCCCCTCTGGAGGCTTTTGTGATACAAAACAGAACAGGGACCAGTGGCCAGGGAAACATAATGATCCTCTCCTCAATTCATCCTCCCTCTCTCCAAATATCAAATAAATACCCCTTTCCTCCATATTTGGCCCGTCTGTCTCAGCTCTCCGGAGCCTCTGTGAGAATGTCCTCCATCACACTGCTTTCCTTCACCTAGGAAGCAAATACTGTGTTTACTGTGCTTTATTCCTGGTAGCCTTTGCTCTATTAATCTTTAACATCAAATTGATATATTCGTTGACATTCAAAAGATTTGGGTAGTGGGAAAGGTAGAGATTTATTTCTCAGTCTTGATCCAGTTTCTCCAGAGAAATTAAGGATTTGTCTTCACAAATAGACACAACTAAATATATCCTTTTATAGGGGACATATCAGAATACCAGTGAAATGAAGTGCTAAGAGATCTTTGACGTTTATGACTTTTGTAAGGTCCATTCCATCTGAATACAGTCCAAAGGCTAATTTTCACCATTTATTCTAAAACAGGCATATTTCTCGACATATACGAAGGGCAAGTCACCGCAGTACTCGGACATAATGGAGCTGGCAAATCGACACTGTTGAACATTCTTAGTGGGCTGTCTGTTTCCACGGAAGGTAAGGAAATAATTTTATAAGCGACTGATCAAGCAGGCTTTTTACACGGTTGAGTTATTTAGGATAGGAAATGTTTATTTCATATTTATATAAATTCTCAAAAAAACTTGTGTCTCCACTCTGCTGTTGTTTGTCATTCCATGTATACGTGGCATTGCCATAGACCCCGATATTTATGTTAAGAATAAGCTGAATTTTTCAATGTATTAATTATAAAATGTGAGGTTTCTTCAACTAGTATCCCATATTATCACTCTTCGCAGAGTTAATATCCTGGTGTTGAATACTTTAAAATTTCTGGGGGCACCTGGGTGGCTCAGTCAGTTTGAAGCATTTGACTTCGGCTCAAGTCATGATCTCACAGTTCATGAGTTCGAGACCCGTATCGGGCTCTGTGCTCACAGCTCAGAACCTGGAGCCTGCTTCGGATTCTGTGTCTCTTTTCCCTGTCTGCCTCTCCCCCTTTCTCACTCTGTCTCTCTCTCAAAATAAACATTAAAAACATAAAATAAAATTTCTATTTATAGGATCAGCCACTATTTATAATACTCGACTCTCTGAAATAACTAACATGGAAGAAATTAGAATGAACATGGGATTTTGTCCACAATTCAATATTCAATTTGACTTTCTTACTGTGAGAGAAAACCTTAGGCTATTTGCTAAAATAAAAGGGATTCACTCCCAGGAGGTAGAACAAGAGGTAGGTGAACATATTTGAACTGATGGCTTTGAAAATAATTTACTTTGCTCCTGACTATATATTTTTAACCATTACTTTATTTTCATAAATAAAGCTTGGTTGATGAAGTTCTTAGAATAGACTTCTCCTAATTATTAGGAAAACTGATTAAAGTAAAATATTTTGTATTACGTAGAGGTGTTTTTTTTTTGATAGGTAAAAAGAATTATAATGGAATTGGACATACAAAACATTCAAGACGTTATTGCTAAAAAATTAAGTGGTGGACAAAAGAGAAAACTAACACTTGGGATTGCCCTTTTAGGGGATCCTCAGGTAAGAGAGGAAAAAAATGTTTTGAAATTAATTTGTGTTGAAGGATATCAAGCTATCATGAAAGTCTAGATTCTGATTACCAAGTATGAGAGGAAATTTGTAATTGGGGACCATACAAGCTTCTGAGGAATCGCGTGGAAAGGCTGTATTTGAATCTAGGAATCATATGGGTTTCCATGCAACTTTCCGAAGGTCCTCGCTTGGATCTGGAAGGCACTTTCATACTCTTTCTCATCTGTAGGTTTTGCTACTGGATGAACCAACTGCTGGACTAGATCCTTTTTCAAAGCACCGAGTTTGGAATCTCCTGAAGGAGCGGAAAACAAACCGTGTGATCCTTTTCAGCACCCAGGTTATGGATGAGGCTGACATCTTGGCCGGTGATTCTTGGTTTCTTTCTTCTAACTGGTTATTTAAGGACTTAACGTGAGAGATATTGTCCATAGTCTTTTTTTTTTTTTTAAAGAGAATCTTGCTTAGAGTCCATTAGCATGACGACATTCTAAAGCTGCACTTTGCTTCAAAGGAATGCTGATCTTCCCATGAGTTCTCAGACCCGTGCTTGATGCATCTTCTTGTCTGTAACTTCCTTCCCTGTCTACATTAATCACAAGTACATTTTAAAAGTTTTGAAACCCCAGTATTAACTTTCATATAGTTTTTGGTGATTGGGTAGAAAAAACTTGTAGCTGGGAAAAATTCTTTTTAAATTTACAAGCCTTTGTGGCCTTCTTGGGAAGATCCTTGGATCGCTAACCAAGGTGTGGAGTGTGAAGATGTAGGATTGGAGAATGTTCTGCCTAGGACATAGTGGCAGTGGAGGACTGGTTTCAGTAAGCCAGGAAGGGGTATGGAAGATGAATCTGAAAAAAATTAAGTCAGAAATGGACTCAGTGAAAAGAAGAGAAATTTTTGCTGTCTGATGTGCAGTATGATCCTCTTCTAAGTTTCCTTAAAATATACTTTACCTCCATGTCTGTTACTTCCTGCCTCAATAAAGCTATAAAACAAGCCATTCCCAAACGTAGTATCTTATGCCAATAAGCATTTATTTAGTGCATAAGTTGGAGAGTTGGCAATTTAGAGTGGGCTCACTTAGTGAGATTTTCCCATCTTTGACTGGGTTCACTTACTTATGTCTGGTAGCTGAATGGCCATTAGCAAGGCCAGTTAGTTGACCTAAGGTGACTTAGGTGACAGCTCCACTTTAGGTGTATTTCATCTTCCTGCAGAATACCCCAGGCATACTCATGGTAGGGACTAAGGTTCTAGAGACCAAGTCCCAAAGCATAAGCCCATATCAAGCCTCTACTTGCCAAAGTATGCTAACATGCCATTGGCCAAATAAGTCACATGGTGGAGGCAGGTATCAAGGAGTGGAGCAGGTGTCCTTGCTCATGGTGAGAGAACACTGCACAGCTACATGGTAAAGTATGTGGATGAAGGGAGAGTTGAAGAATTGGGCTTCTTTGTAATGATTTATGTCATTGGATAACCTGTGAGGGATGCAGTGAATTTCTGATTCCTACTTCAAAGTAAGAATGGGGATGAGAAGTGGTGCTATAGCCAAGAGCTCAGTTGTATTGAGACTGCATTCATACTGATAAATCCATTCAGTGTCTTGGTCTCCAGAGCAGAGACCATACCCATAAAAGGAATTCACATAATTCTTTCTTTTTTTCCTACTCAGATAGGAAAGTGTTTCTGTCTAATGGGAAGTTGAAATGTGCCGGGTCATCTTTGTTTCTGAAGCAAAAATGGGGTATTGGATATTGTTTAAGGTAATGTATTCTGGGAGCAACTTTTAAAAAAATGTTTTTAAATGTTTATTTATGTTTTAGTGAGAGAGACAGAGTGCAAGCAAGGGAGGGACAGAGAGAGAGGGAGACACAGAATCCAAAACAGGCTTCAGGCTCTGAGCTGTCAACACGAAGCCCGACATAGGGCTCCAACTCATGAACCGTGAGATCGTGATCTGAGTTGAAGTCAGACACTTAACCGACTGAGCCACCCAGGCGCCAATGGAAGTAGCTTTTTCATAGGACTATGGATATAAGGGGTGGCATTTCATGTAATCCTCTAGAGATATAAGAAAGCCAACCTAATATTTGGTGGAAATTGATTTACAGTAAATAGTACAATATATCTTCCTCATTAACATTGGTTGGTTGTCTTTTGGTTTTAAACATGTAAATTTCTAAATTCGTATATATCTTTCAATAGAATATTTTTTGGCTAACATATAAAAATTTATAATCATGTTTTCAAAAAACAAATTAATTTAAAACATTTTAAATTAATTTATTTTTTCGAAAGAGAAAGATAGTGTGGGAGGGACAGAGAGAGAGAGAGAAAGGGAAGGAGAGAGAGAGAGAAAGAGAGAATCCCATACAGGCTCTGCACTTTCAGCACAGAGCCCAACACAGGGCTCAAACTCACAAACCACGAGATCATGACCTGAGCTGAAATCAACAGTCAGACTTAGCTTAACCGACTGAGCCACCCAGGCGGCCCCCAAAAAAGCAAGAAATTTTTAATGAAACAGTTGGCCCTGAAGGTCTGAAATTGTATTCCAAATCTACTTTATATGTCAGAATCAACTTCAGTGTCAGAATATCGCATGGGATAATTTAGAAAGCACAGCATATGAACAAGCAATTTATTGGCATGAATAGAGGCCATTTGCTGCAAGTAAGCAATTGTTTATTAAAAACCTTATTAATTTTTTAATGATCCAGAAGTCATGTTTTATGTACTTTACATCCTATCATGATTTTATATATGCATATCTCAATATATATAATCCATCTATCTATCTATATATATGTTTATATGCCAGCTTGCTGTCTATCAATCTATCCATATTGTATGTACACTGAAATTTCAACTTACTTTAGTTACATTTTAGGAAGTTGGCTGGGTGTTTGGGATTGACATGTAATACCCTGTATTTTCCCCACTTAAAACAATTCAAACAAGGCTACCATTTAGCACTTGGAAGTAGAATATCTGATTTCTGTGAACTGAGTCGTGAAAGTATCAGGAGATGCCTGTAATTTATTCAAATTATTTAATGGAAAACTGTGTTGTAATGAGCTGTGGTGTTGGAGAAGAAATCAAAAGACTTCTGCTTCTTTTGTAACCATAGTTTACACAGGAATGAAATGTGTAATCCAGAGAGAATCACATCCCTTGTTAGGCGGCACATCCCTGAGGCCAAGTTAAAAGCAGAAAGTGAAGAAAAGCTTGTGTATCTTTTGCCCTTGGAAAGAACAAGCAAATTTCCAGGTAACTTACTGTATGGTCGCACAGAGTGCAGCTAAGTTTCTGTGACAGTGCCGACTGCATTCTTTGCCTTCTGTCAGTTGGGTTTTAAAGCTTATACCCATGAAAATATTTATTCCTAAGAGCTCCGCCTCCTGTTTTCAATATAATAAAATGTGTTATCAGACACATGGTTTTCATGTGAGAGCAACAAAAATTTCCATTACTGTATTTCACTGAAAAACCCAGATTTGCTTGCTTTATCAGCATTAAATGAAGCTTTGAAATCTATTTTTAGAAAAAGTAAAAACTTTTAATTTCTGTTAGAGACACGGGTTAAATAAGACCTTATTTTTTTTTATTTAAAAAATTTTTTAACATTTATTTATTTTTTGAGAGACAGAGAGACACAGAGCACAAGTGGGGGAGGGGCAGAGAGAGAGGGAGACTCAGAATTTGAATCAGGCTCCAGGCTCTAAGCTGTCAGCACAGAGCCTGATGCAGGGCTCGGACTCACTGACCACTAGATCATGACCTGAGCTGAAGTCAGATGCTTAACTGACTGAGCCACCGAGGTGCCCCATAAGGACTTATTCTTAAAAAACAGTTGGAAGTAAAGTCTTTGTAAAGTGTCATTTTAATTATAAGTATAATATACTTGATAGAGAGGCACCTGGGTGGTTCAGTCAGTTAGTCGTCTACCTTTGGCTCAGATCATGATCTCATAGTTCATGGTTTCTAACCCCAAGTCAGGCTCTGTGCTGACAGCTCAGAGCCTGGAGCCTGTTTCAGATTCTGTATCTCCCTCTCTCTCTGCCCCTTCCCCACTTGCACTATGTCTCTCTTTCTCTCAAAAATAAATAAGGGGTTCCTGGGTGGCTCAGTCAGTTAAGTGTCCGACTTCGGCTCAGGTCTGTGCCAGCTCAGAGCCTGGAGCCTGTTTCAGATTCTGTATCTCCCTCTCTCTCTGACCCTCCCCTGCTCATGCTGTCTCTTTCTCAGAAATAAATAAAAACATTAAAATAAATAAATAAATAAAACACATTAAAACATTTTTAAAAGTTAGAAAATACAGAGAAGGAAATATAACTTACCCATGCTTGATGAATTAAAGAAATTTTTTTTAATATTTATTTATTTTTGAGAGAGACACACAGTGTGAGCAGGGAAGAGGCAGAGAAAGAGGGAGACACAGAATCTGAAGTAGGCTCCAGGCTCTGAGCTGTGAGCACAGAGCCCGACTTGGGGATCAAACTCACAAATCACGAGATCATGACCTGAGCTGAAGTCAGATGCCTAACCGACTGAGCCACCCAGGCACCCCTTGATGAATTTTTAAGTAGGCGTACGTACTTACACAAACACACACATGGCCATGGTGATACAAGAAATTTTAAAGTTTATGAAACAAAAAAGAGATGTGAAATAATAAAATTGATTTGAAGGAAAGAAGAACATGGGCATATTTTTATTGGATTATTTTGACAGCTTTAATTTGAAAGTGCTTTTAGATTTATCTATTCTGAGGAATCTTTAGGATTTCAATGTATTTATCAGCAATTTTAATTGCATTAATTTCTTACTGTCTTCTTTTTAGATCTTTACAGTGACCTTGAAAAGTGTGCTAATCAGGGCATAATGAATTATGATGTTTCCATGACAACTCTGAATGAAGTCTTCTTGAATCTAGAAGGCAAATCAACAATTGATGAGCCAGGTATAATAATGCGTATCTAGCAGAAAATTAAGAAAGAAAAAAACAGAAAGTGTCCATGTCTTGCCATATTTGTAGATTTTTATGTGGAATTCTGCCTAGAATGTCTATTAGGTATAAAATAGGGTTGCCTACTCTTCAAAATATAATTATTTCATTTTTATTTAAATTATTTGTAGTTTTATTTATTTTTTACAGAGAGAGTGAGTGTGCCTTTGTGCACGTGTGCGTGCGCGCGCACACACACATACACACACACACGAGCAAGTCAGGGAGGGGCAGAGAGAGAGAAGAGGACAGAGGATCCAAGGCAGGCTCTACACTGACAGCAGAGAGCCTGATGCAGGGCTTAAACTCAGGAACCATGTGATCATGACCTGAGCTGAAGCCAGACGCTTAACTGACTGAGCCACCCAGGTGCCCCTAAATGTATTATAATTACTCAGTATCTAACATAATCAGACTTGGTGCTAGGTAATTACTTTTTAACATTCATCTCCCTCTCGTGGCAGTAATAATCACACCCCTTTGCAGTGCCCACTTGTCCTTATCATCAATAGCTCCCTGCTAATGTTGAGTCCTAGCTTCGTCTCTCACCTGCCATTCTCTATGCAAATGTACTCTTGCTTAGCTAATAAGTGAACTCTAATTTATGTATTAATAACAGATAACTCAATAAGATGCTATGTTCCCTTAGTTTAGTTTGTAATAAGAATCATTAGAAGAATTTCGGAGCCAACTATTTGCCAGCCACTGTGCTCAGCTGTTGGATTGCATTGTTCCTAATTCCCTCATAACTTGGTTATGCAGGGAGAAAACTGAGATTTGGAGAAGTTGAGCAATCAGCCAAAACATAACAGCTGCTGTGTGGCATATGTGGGATTTGAACTGGAGATCTTTCATGGACTTTCTATTCCTTAAAGCCAGTGTCTTGAAATAGTCACTGGGCTGTCAATCATCAGCAGTTCTGTGGAGGAGCTCCAGATGACAGAGGAGACCTTTTAGAAACTCAGTTACTTACATTTATCCCTGTGTTTTTGCATAAAACTCCCTCTGCAAAAATCCCTTGGTAATAAGCAGCTGTTGATATGAAAGAATAAATGCTTCTCAAGACGCCTAAACCAATTCTCAAGTTAATTTACTCACTCATTGGAATTGGATCCATTATATTTGTCTGCAGGACACATGTTCCACGTAAGAGTTATGGATATCAGTAGCTTAACTTCTTAGAAGCCCTGTTTCAAAACATTCTAGTGTAGCTTTCAAAGTTTCTAAAGAGAAAGTGCAAATAACATAGCCCGTTATAATGGTTTACTACATGGCTACAGAGTTTGGCATTCGGAAACAGGAGAGAGTCAGTGAGACAAGGGATGCAGGAACTGAGTCTCAAATGCAACAGGCTCCTTGTTCTCTTCCTGGACGGAGAAAGGCCGTCAGCACCGGAACTCTCTGGAGGCGACAGGTGTATGCAGTGGCCAAGCTTCGCTTCTTAAAGTTAAAGCATGAGAGAAAACTTCTTTTGTCCTTGTAAGTATCAGACTGCTTTATTTTTATTTTTATTTTTTTAAATTTTTAATGTTTTATTTATTTCTGAGAGAGAGATAGAGACAGCGTGAGCAGGGGAGGGTCAGAGAGAGAAGGAGACACAGAATCGGAAGCAGGCTCCAGGCTCTGAGCTGGCTGTCAGCACAGAGCCCGATGCGGGGCTCGAACCCATGAGCTGTGAGATCATGACCTGAGCCGCAGTCGGACACTCAACCGACTGAGCCACCCAGGCACCCCTATTTTTTTTTTAAAGTATATTTTAATTACTGATTTTGAGAGAGAGAGAATGAGAGAGCAAGCAGGGAAAGAACAGAGACCAAGGCAGAGAGAGAATCCCAAGCAGGCTCCACACTTTCAGCACAGAGCCTGATGCAGGGCTCGAACTCACAAACCATGAGATCATGACCTGAGCCAAAAATCAAGAGGCAGACACTTAACTGACTGAGCCACCCAGGCACCCCAGTATCAAACTACTTTAAAACTCTCTAGTCAGTATATGCAGAAAAGTTCGAATGTCAAGGAAATAAGTCTATTAATTTCTTCATTCTTTAAACAAATGTTTTTCCAGTGCCTGTAGTACTGTCCTACAGAAGTGAGTACAACTACAAAGGCCTTTAGACTTAAATCTTGTGGGGGAGAAAAATACTAATTAAGTAATTACCCAGTAAATATGTTAATCGTTCATTGTATCACAAATCTTTATTGAAGCTTGTTATGTGCTAGGTATGGTTTTAGGTGCTATGGTGTTTACCTTCTGACTGGGAGGAAAAGATAACAACAAATACAGAAATGAAAATAAATTATATAGTAGGTTATACAAAATAGAGTAAGGGGGTGGCACTGGTGGGAGTTAGGGGATCATTCTAATTCTAAACAAGGTGGTCAGCGTTGGCCCATTGAAATGGTCACATTTGAGCCAGTACTGGATGACATGAAGGGATTAGTAGATAAAAGAGAGAGAATCCCAGTTTAGAGCAGAAAGCATCAATCATACTTGGCAAAAAGGGAAATTGTGAAAGGTTTTAAGAAGAGAAGATCTGAAAGTAGACAACTCTTTCAAGGTGCTTGGACATGGAGGGAGGTAGAAAGATCAATAGTAGTTGAAGGGAGATTGAACTTTGAAGGAATTTTCTTTTTTCTTCATTATTGCTTTTTTTTTTTACCCCCTTAATGAATGGAAGACATTAGAACATGCTTCAGTCATGGTAGGAATATGCCAGTAGGATGAAAATAATTAAAGATGAGCTAACTAAGCAACGTGTCAGGGAGGGTGGCAAGGGTCTGGGTCCAGAGCAGTACTGAGAAGAACTGAGCTTTGGTAGTGAGCAGAGACAGCATCTATTACAACAGAAGGACAGACTGAGGGGGTGGATATGTTTTCCTTTCTTGGAGGTGAGGTGATAAGATCAGCAAGAGTTTCTGTCTGATGGACTTCATTTTTTTCCCTATGAAATAGGAGGCTGAGAGTGAGGGAGAAGACCGTAGAGCCTGAGGTCCGATGCGAAAGTAGTCATTGCAAAGAGTGGACTCAGAAACTTATTAGAGAAACAAGAAGATGACTTGAGAAACTTCCACTGGTAGTTTGAGCTGGAAGAATGAATTCTAGGACCTGAAAAATAGTGCATTAAATATGGCATCTAGTTTCATGAAAATTAAAGTAGACACAAAACAGCAGCTGATGCAAGTTAAAATTGTACTTGAAATTGTATACATTGCAAGTTCGAGGACAGTGTGAAATAAGGCTTCTTTCCCTTTAAAACGACGTATTCTGTCCAGTGTTTTCCCTGTGGTTCTGGTCAACCAGCACACCCACCAGAGGATCCCAGTTGGATTTCACATTTTCTTTTGATGCTCTATTATCCTTGAACATCTCACAGTGTGATATGATTTATGAAAATTTTTGAGTCTACTTTCAGATTAACCTCATTTTCATTTTATGTAACTGAACACTATATTTGTATGTTGAATTTCCATAGGTTGGCATTACTTAGCATGTTTGTGACTTCAGTAGTCAGAGGGAAAATAGACTTCCATTTTATTTTTTTTTTACTTAGGTTATTGACACTTGGTATTCCTTTAATCCCTACCATCTTTGAGAAGATATTGGTTGTGTTATCTTACTCTACTCACTGTTGGGAGCTCTCATCCAGTATGTACTTCCTTTCTCTGGAACAACCCTCACAGACTCCTCTTACCAGTCTATTGGTCATCAACAACACCGGTGAGAAATAGGGATTAGATCTCCTCTTGACTTTTATCACCAAAGATCTTTTGAAACACAAACCTGAGCAGCAAAAAAGACCTATATTAAAAACACCTTGAGAGACAACGGGGAGAAGTGGTGTGTGTATCTACAGTTTGCTTTGTTTTCAAATTAAGGGAATTGATGGCATGTTTTCAAATCGAGAAAAATAATGGACAGAATGGATAATATCAAATTACCTTACTGTCATGAAGATGTCTTGAATGGGTCATCGTGCAGTAAATATCACTGCAGGGTTCACCAGATACAACAGGTTAGGTAATGAGTAGGACTGATTTGTATCATTAGTAGAACAAGCCTGGGTTAGGAGGTATAGATTTTGTATATAGTATTTGTAGTTACAGACATCACAGGGATCGGGCAGAGTTTATAAAAATCACTAATAAGAAGTTTTCTTTCTGTGTGAATTGCAAATCTAGCTCTCAGGAATCACCCCCTTTACCTTTATAAGAATTACAAAATACATGAACATATTTCTGAAAAGAGTCTTTCCACTCAACATGGTAACCACATTTCATTGTCCCAGCACCGTAATTAATCTCAGCATATTCTCAGAGAGTGAAGGTCTTTACCATGATATTCTGGGTATTCCTTAACATGAGAAGAAATCATTGCTGTTTTAAAGGGGAGATGTTGGTTTTCTCGCTGTTATCCTGCCTCCTTTGTTGATTACATTAGGATCAAACATCGAAGACCTTGTGCAGGCACTGAGACGTCAGGATATACTTTTGGAAGTAGATGATTTTAGAAATAGAAATGGCTCAGATGATCCTTCCTACAATGGAGCCATCATAGTGTCTGGTGACCAGAAGGTATGTTTGCGTCCGTGTGCTGTTTAATCATGAATGGGGTCTTGCTGCCTTCTAATACTTTAGATCTATAGAAAAGCAACTCAACTATTCTACATCAGTATAACTTGAGCCCTTGTCGAATTAAAGTAGGAAATTTTAATCCTTTAAAGAGCACATGTTTCTATCTCTTAAAGGCATCATCTTTTACTAGTGATTTTTAAAAAGTTTATTTTGAGAGGGGGGAAGGGGCAGAGAGAGGGAGAGTGACAGAATCCCAAGCAGGTTCCACACTGTCAGCACAGAGCCCTGTGCGGGGCTCGAACTCACAAACCACGGGATCATGACCTGAACCAAAACCAAGAGTCGGAAACTTAACCAGCTGAGCAACCCAGGTGCCCTTATTAGTAATTTTATTTGTTATAAAAGCAACACATGTTTTGCAACAACATGGATAGATCTTGAGGGCATAATGCTAAGTGAAATAAATCAGAGAAAGGCAGATACTACATGGTATCGCTTAGAAGTAGGGAAAAAAAAAAGTCAAACTCCTAGAAGCAGAGAGTAGAAAAGTGGTTGCCAGAGGCTAAGGGGTGGGGAAAATCGGGATAGGTTAGTAAAAGGGTATAAGCCTTCAGTTATAAGATAAATAAGGTTTGAAGACCCAATGTGTAATGTGGAAACTATAGTTGGTAACACTGTATGGTATAATTGTAATTTGCTGAGTGGAACTTAAATGTTCACATATATAATATATAATATATATATTGTTCATATATATATTATATATATAATATATATAATATAAATGTTCATGTATAGGATATATATGCACACAGATATACGTGGTGATGGATATGTTAACTAGATGGGAGGAATCTTTTCACAATGTATATGTCAAACCATTATGATCTACATTTTAAGTATCTTAAAATTTTGTCAATTACATCTCCATAAAGCAGGAAAAAAAAAGCAATGTATTTTTAATAGGGACATTAGAACATTACTAGGATATGTAATATAGAAGGGAAAATTCTTTAAATAATTTCATTTCTTTATTTTTCCATATTTCTAACTGAATCATTTGGTAAATGTCATCTACATACTTTTCCTTTATATAAACACAAACCCATTATTTATAGGACAATTTCATATTCTAAAATATATTTCCTAAATTATAGAGACCCTACAACTTTCTCTGTCACATAAAATTCAAATCTTTGACATCTTTCCACGTTAGTGAAATGTTCATCTACTTCATTTACAGAGTAAGTCCTTTGGATTACCAAAATAATGCATTCTTCTAACTTCAAAAAGGCTGAAGTGTCAAAGAAAAATTAATAGTCTCCTTCTCACCCAAATTCCACCCTGGTAATTTATAAATTATACAGAAAGTATGAAAGTATATTTGCTTTAAGAATTTAGAACTCGTATTTGTGTGTGTGTTTGTGTTTTTTAGGATTACAGATTTTCAATTGCATGTAATACCAAGAGAATGACTTGTTTTCCTGTTCTTATGGGAATTGTTAGCAATGCCCTTCTTGGAATTTTTAACTTTACAGAACTTATTAAAACGGAGAGAAGCACATTGCCTTTTGTAAGTATAGTATTGACTTATATAAGAGACAATTTAGCAAGGGAGAAAGGTCAAGAACTCTATAGCTTATCACCTGAGTCCGAGTCCTGTTTCTGCTCTTTATTAGCAAGTTTCTTAGCCATTCCTTGCTTTACTGTTTTCATCTGTAAAATGGGGGATTTAATTGTACCCACTATATATGATTATTGTGAGGATTAAATCAGTTTCCTCAGTGCCCAAAACAGAGCCTGATATATTTCATTCATTCTACAAATATTTCTTGAGTGTCTACCTGATACTTCCAGGTGCTGGGAATACAGCATGAACAGAACAGACAAAAGTTTTAATCTATGGAGCTTACATTCCTGTAATGGGGACTGTTAGCATTCAATCCGTGTTTGCTGTTAGTTGTTCTAAAAAGTTAAGAATTTTTCAAGCAGTTTTATGTTTAATCTCAAATTTTTAATGGGAAAAAATTTTTAAATAATAAAATTTCTTACTTTAGTAATTTAAATATAGCCTGCTATTTTCTATCCTTTATGCTGATCTTTGTTTCTATGATATTTATTGCCACCTGATACAACAATATAGAGTTGTTTTATCACTGGCCTCATCCTTCCAGTTTAAAATGTTGTCTAATCAGGGGCACCTGGATGGCTCTGGTGTTTGAGCATCCAACTCTTGATTTCCACTCAGGTCACGATCTCATGATTCATTTGGTCGAGCCTGCGTCGTGCTGTCAGCATGGAGCCTGCTTGAGATTCTCTGTCTCCCTCTGTCTCTGCCACTCCCCTGCTCACATGAGCACGGTCTCTCTCAAACTAAATCAACAAATTTTAAAAATAAAACAAAATCCTGTCTAGTCAAAGATTATACACAGCTCCCCAAGACATAGAACATTAAAAAAGCCAAGATCTAAAAGGGCACTGAAAACTTTTTAAAATAAAAGAGAAAAATAATAGGCCTGATAAAGAATCATACTTTGGGCTTGGTTTGGTTTGCTGTCTTGAATAACTCTTCACACTTAGCCAGGTACCTAATACCTAGTTGCTGAAATCAGTGAATGAACAGACTTGCTCAGAAACCCAGAACACCTAGAAAGGCTCAAATGCACATCCTTAATCTTACATCACTTCTCCCTGGGGGAATTATAGAGTATGTGATATACATTGATTAAAGTAAGTATAGAAGAGTATATACCACATCCACCCTCAGTCCCCAATCCTGTGGTATCTCGTTTGGGCCCAGGCTTCCTCCACCAGGCATGTCTCCTCCTGGGTCCTCCCCCTGCCCCCGACAGTACTGCCTCCTAGAGACCTTCCACCTGGGATACCCCCAGCCATGCCCCCACCACCTGTTCCTCCTGGGGCTGGAAGAAATGGCTCACCATCAGCAGGAATCCTGGGAACTGGACATCCTGGACACGAGCACTCACATCCTCATCCATTCCCACCAGGTGGGAGGCCCCATCCAGGGATGTCTCAGATGCAGCTGGCCCACCATGGTCTTCATGGCTGAGGACACCTCCATGCTAGGCCCACAGGCTCTGGGGGCAGAGGGCAGCCACCGTCCCCATCGCCACCTGGAATGCCTTATCCCGGACCTGTTCCAAAGGGCATGCCCCCACCCCCACCCCGAGGGCCTCGGTTTGGATCTCCCATGGGTCACCCGGGTCCTGTGCCTCCACATGGGATGCATGGACCTTCTCCACTGATACCTCCTCATGGATCCACTGAGCCCTATGGCTACCAGCGGGGTCCCTCCTCCATCCATACCCACCCCCCAGCCTCCAGTTCCCCCTAGAGGCCCCCTTCAAGGCCCTCTTCCTCAGCAATTTCTCATTGTTTTGCATCCTGTTCTATTTCCCCAATAATTCCTTGGATCAGTCAGAGTTGCTGTAGCTCCCTAGAGCTAAGGCACTAATCCCCCTTAGGCCTTTTATTTTTTTAATGTAATTTTTTTCACAGGAGGTTTTATTATTTTTTTAAGTTTATTTATTTTGAGGGAGGGGAGAGAGAGAACAAGTGGGGAAGGGGCAGAGAGACTCACAAGCAGCCTCCTCGCTGCCAGCACAGAACCCAGTGTGGGGCCTGAACTCACCAAGCGTTGGTCCTGTGTTTTGTAAATGCACAGAGAAAATAAAACTAAACTCCTTATTTAAGAAAAAAAAGTGTGGAGAGTAGATGGATAGATAGATAAATAGATAGATCACACTGAAATTTATGAGAATATACACCCCACCTCTAAAATTATGATTATTTAACAGTTCTGTGGTGTTTTCTCTGTCATTTTAATTTATTTATTTTTTAAGTTTACTTATTTATTTTGGGAGGGTAGGAGGGCACAAGCACAGCCCGTGATTCTGGGCTTGAACCCATGAACTGTGAGATCATGACCTGAACCAAGATCAAGAGCTGGATGCTTAACCGACTGAGCCACCTAGGTGCCCCAGTTTTTCTCTATCATTTTAAATTCTAAAGTGTCCTTTTGGGTCTTGACTCTTTTATGTTTTGTAGCTTATGAGATACATTGCAGTTTTTGATCGTGTATGATTTTAGTAACTGTCCTCAGCCTTCAAGTAATTCCTAACAGGTGTGTTTAATTATGGTATATAAAAAAGGAAAAAATGGTAGAAATTGGGGGAATGTCTGCAAGTATATACATAGTGGTTGTAAAGAATGAAATTTTTACAGTAAGAAATTAATATAATGGCATCTCTGGGTGGGGTTTTTTTTTGCATATGAAATAAGGCCATTTCTGTACTCTTTTTTTTTTTTTCCAGTCTATTGTTATAACACTGATAAATTACCCTGTCTGGAAAACAACTTAGATTTATACTAAAACCCCTCTATGCCTTAAAGATTAATTTAAACATTTCTAGAAGTCCAAAAGTTTTTATGCAGGAAAGATTTGCTCTCCTGTAATTATACTTTGGAGGTAGGGACAAGAACAGCTTCAAGACAATTACTATGAGAGTTTTAGAGGCTATAACCTATAATTCATCTACTTGGAAGTAGGGAACGGGAATAAATGGCAACTTATTTTCCTGCTTCAGAGACTATCAGTCCAGCTCCATAGAATATATGTCTTTGCTTAACAAATACTAGATGAAAATATGAAAGAACACCTGCTCACCATCTCAATCCATGCCTATGAAATTAAGATTTTGAATTTCTGTTGATACCATGCCATTCCTGGGAATGGAGCTTGCTATTTAGGGTAGCGAAGCAATATTCACTTCTGTCTGTGTTTGCTTTTTTTTTTTTTTTTTTTTTTAATGTGAGAGAGAGCATGAGTGGGGAAGGGGCAGAGAGAGAGGAGGACCAAGGATTAGAAGAAGCGAGCTCTGCGCTGATAGCGGAGAGCCCCGACAGCAGGGCTCGAACTCACAAACTGTGAGATCATGACCTGAGCTGAAGTCAGACACTTAATTGACTGAGCCACTCAGGAGCCCCTGTCCGTGTCTGCTTCTGAAGTTAGGTATATGCTTCCTTTCTGAAGTTTTCACCATCTCCTATCTTATAACTATGTCTAACTGCGTGATACATAACAGTTTCAGTAGCTCACAGGTGTGTTTTCAACTTGCAGAACGGCGTCCTAATGGAATTTGGTTCTGTGAATGGGCCTTTAATTTTGTTGATCCTTGTAAACTGCCTTTCTCCTTACATTGGCATGAGCAGCATCAACGATTGCAAAGTAAGAGGGGTGGGCGAGGGAAGAAGCAAAAAGATGATTTTACCTGACTTCAAAAATTAGGATTTCACTGCTTTATACACAGAGGATAGTTCTTCACGAAAAACATGTTAACACATAAATTATGTCGTTGTTCTAGTCTCATTATAGATTCTATCAAATGGTTAATCATGATGTCAAAGGAGTCAGGAAATCTACTATTCAACACAATGAAATTGCCTCACCTTTAAGGGAATCCTACTAAATTAACTCTAGAGGTGAAAATGTGGTGCTTTTTGACCGTGTGTTGTTATTTCTCAATTCCAAAGGGAATGTGTGTGTGTGCATGTGTGTGTGTGTGTGTGTGTGTGTGTGTGTGTTTAAATAGAGAATCAAATATGAGATATACCATGTTTCCGAACTTTTAACAACACTTTTGTAAATCAAGCTTTAAACATTTATGTTATCGTTATTTTTATTTATCTACATCAAAGGGTAAATCAACTTTACAGATAAGCCAGACTTTTCCTGTTGAGTCAAAGGCTATGTATTCCCATGGTGGACGTCAGATTCTTAGAGACATGCTCTCTTCCAGTCACAATGGCATGGTATTTCTTTGGGACAATATTAGTGTCTCATTGTCCTGAGGCCTGCTTACCTAGATCTGGCTTAGAAAGTTACTGAAGCTCAGATTCACTATATAAAATAATCCAGACAAAAAAAATTACCTAGCACCACAACATACTACTTCTAGAATGTATTAAAATTTTGTATTTTCACATAAACAAAATACCTTTTCAACCTAACATTTCAAACCTTTCTGTATCCCTTCTGTTTCTTTATCAGCAAAAAACTCAGTCTCAGTTATGGATTTCAGGCCTGTGTCCTTCAGCATACTGGATTGGACAGGCTCTGGTGGACACCCCACTATACTGCTCGATTCTTCTTTCAGTGTATTTAATTAACTGCATCACGGTTTTGGAACTCAAATTTCCACCGGGACTCATGTTTGTTCTTGTAAGTGATCATTTTTTTCACCAGGCCAAATATGATAGAAACAGACATTCACTTTCATTGGCGTTGGATCATTAATGGAAGGCATATGTGAGAAAACAGCCCTACACAGCCTTATGATCTCATTATCTCCCTGTTCTCTGGCCCATACATGACCCGCCATCTCTAATCTTGCTACTAAACATATTGTTTGCAGGTGGTTCACATAGTTGGTTCTTCAGCTTCTCTTATATTCTTCACGTACGTGATTTCATTCATCTTTCGCAAGAGGAGAAAAAATAATGGCCTTTGGTGTCTTGGCTTTTTTATTGTAAGTATCTATGTATACCTATGCACATTTATATTAAATTTTCTTAAGGCTTATTTTTAAAAATGCAAAGTTAAGTATAAATAGTTAAAGATTTTTTAAATGATTATTTATTTTTGAGAAAGAGAGAGACAGAGTACGAGTGGGGGAGGGGCAGACAGAGAGGGAGACACAGAATCTGAAGCAGGAGCCTGATGTGGGGCTCAAACTCACGAACTGTGAGATCATGAAATCATGAACTGAGCCAAAGTCAGATGCCGAACCGACTGAGCCACCCAGGGGCCCCTAAATACTTTACATAGAAGAGAATGGAATTACTTCTTTTGTGCCTCCATTATTGTTGGGTTGTCTTCATGATTTCAGTATTTCTTGTTCATTTTCTCTCTCCTATTTCCATCTGTTCTTTGAGGTTTCTCTTTTATACCTCTATTTCTTTGGAGGGAAGCAAAATATCTGTAGAAATCCTGGCGTGGCTCACCTGAAACCCTAGATCACTTGGGACAGTCCCCTCATTTCACAGAGTGGGAAAAACTTAAAAGAATCACACTTGAACCAAGACTCTCAACTCAGTGTTGTTTTTCCCCTGAATAATTCTACTTATATATAAAAAAAAAAGAAGTGTGATAGATGGCCATATTGGCTAGTAATGCAATCAAACAAAAAAACATGGAAAAGTTTGATTAATAAGTAAAAACATGTATTACATTAGGAGCTCTCAGCTGTATTCTCTTCCCTACGCCTTGTTGACATGTTGAGCAGCTACCATAACTTTCTGACCATTTCAGATAGTAAAATAGTTCATTAAGATTCACTTTAAGAACTGAAAAGGACAACCAAGTCCACATCACAGCTTTAATCTCACAAGCAGTGTGAAGCTCCATCTGCAACCCCATTTCAGGCATGCCCTTAGTTTGGGGACCAGTGGCAAGGTCTTCCCTTTTCTTTTTCTATTTGCTTCTGAATTTCCCTTGCTCCTATACGTGGGGCAGGGCGGAGGGTTTAGGGTAGAGAGCCAACATCTTACTTCTTTGGGGCTGCTATAGTCCCAGTAGTTGGTCTCTGTGGGTAATATCCAAAGGCTTGGATTTAGTGTGGCACACATAACAGCCAGTTGGAGAATTCAATATGCCAGCAGAAATCGTAAAGGCTATTAAATTGCTTCTTAGTCTCTAAGTATCCTCCCTGCAACACCCAATCGTATCATCCCTTGGGGCGATTTTGTAAGTGTTTGGGCTATAGTAGACAAATGTCTAACAACGCAATGCCTCCTTAACTAAGAATTAGTCCTTGATCTATTTGGTTTTTTTCCCCCTTATGCATCTCAATATAAAGATAGATTTGTCTGATCCATCCTCTCATTTAATCAATTTTTGCTTTAGATATTTTGAGACCACAACTGACCCTTGAACAACATGTGGGTTCGGGGAACCAAACCTCTGCATGGTCATAATTATGCATATAACTTTTGATTCCCCCCAGCTGTATACTGTTGACTGGATGCCTTACCAATAACATAAGCAGTCGATTAGCACATATTTTGTATGTTAACTGTATTCCATACTATATTCTCACAACAAAGAAACCTAGAGGAAAAGATGTTATTAAGAAAATCATAAGGAAGAGAAAATACATTTCCAGGACTGTATTTATTAGAAAAAAAGTCCATGCATACATGGGCCTGCACAGCTTAAACCCATGTTGTTCAAAGGTCCATTGTATTTTTATTTGGTGCATTCAAGTCTGGAATCATTAGGTAGTGACCCTATTTATTCTCATACTGGTTTTTGGTCGTAAAGTCAATATGTCAGATATAATATAGGTATACCAGGTTTCTTTTATTTAGCTTTTGCCTGGGAAATTGCTTTGCCACATGTTTACTTTCAACTTTTTGGTGTCATGCTTTCATGTATGTTTATTGCCAACTGAATATAGTTGGATCTTTTTGTTGTCTTTTTTAAATTTGATCTGGCAATCTGTGGGTTTAATTTAATGAATTGCTTGTGATTGTTTATACACTTCAATTTGTTGATATTTTACTTCATGGCTTTATATTTGTGATGTGCATTACGTGGTTTCTTGTCTTTCCTGCTTTTGTTTTTTTATTCAGTCAAACTTGTTCTTTTACTCCCCATTTTACCCTCTTCTGGTTTGGAAATCATCAACCATATTTATTACCTTGGAGCATTATTTTGCTGCAAATGCTATAATAACGTACCACAAATTGGGTGGCTTAAGCAACAGAAACTTATTTTTTTTTTTTTAATAATTCTGGAAGTGGAAGTCCAAGATCTACAGGTGTCTGCAGAATTGCTTTTTCCAAGGCCCCTCTCCTTGGCTTATAGATGGTCATCATCTCTCAGAGACTTTGTGTGGTCTTGTGTGTGTGTATAAATTTCCTCTTCCTATTAGGACAACAGTTATTTTGGATTAGGGCCCGCCTCCATGACCTCTTTAATCTTAATGACCCCTTTAAAGACCCCGTATCCAAATACAATCATGTTCTACTGGGCTTAGAACTTCAACATATGAATTTGAGGGGACAAAATTCAACCCATAACTTTGATTTTCTTTTCCCCATGACAAACTTAATGAAGCTTAAAGTTGATATGTTAATTCTTTCCAACCCTATAGTTTGGAACTTTGTGATCAATAATTGCTCACCCTACTTACATGATATTCTCTAGTGTTTGGTTCTTGCTGACATTTTTGCTATTGAGATGTCTGCTGTCAGTCTGCCATTCCTTTGTAGAGTATCCGTCTTTGACTGCTTTTAAGGTCTTCAACTTTCCAATCTTTAATTTCATTACATTGTTTCTAGGTGTGGCTTTCTTTGTATTTATCATTTTTTCAAATGAATTTTGCCACCTGAATCTGAATTCATTTATCAGTTCCAGAAATTTCTCTGCCAACACCTTTTAAAATATTACTTCTCTTATGAAAGTACGAATAAAATATTTATTCTTTGCTCCCTGAACTCTGCTGAGATAGTGTTAGTGTTATTCTCAGTCTGTTCTCCACATCTCTTAGCATTTTGTTCAAACTTTCCATGTCCTTGCCCTTGCTGCATTCTGGGAAATGCTTGAGACCCTGCTTCCAATCCACTTATTTTTTATTCAGCTATTTCTAAGTTATGTTTAATCTTTGATTGACTTTTTAAAATTTCAACTTTGTTTTCTAAAGCCATTTGGCTCTATTTCAAATATGTCCAGTTGTTCCTCATGATCTCTTGTTCCTTGCTTTTGTGTTCTTTATTCCACATTTGATTTCCTTATACATTTAATTAAAATAATATTTGTACTTGTTATTTGACAATTCTAACAGTCTTCAAATAGTTATAATCTTTTGTTGGTTTGTTTGATTTTCTCCCTCCTGATTCACACTGTGGCTGCTGACCTTTAAGTACAAAACTCTCAAGATCTTATACTGGGGATGTTTTCATCCTAGAAGAATTTTCAGTTACTTTTGCAAGAAGTGCAATGTACAGCCCACGTAGGGCATAAACCATCTTAGAAGTCATGACCTAGAATGTCATACGGGATTTGCAAAGAATAACCATAAAGAGGGTTACTTTTTATTCTGTTGAAGGTATTTGGAGGAATGGACCTCTCAGTCGCTGAACGGGAATGGACATTTGTTCCCTGTTGCTCAGATTTACTGTTTACTTAATAGTCCATTAGGTTTCAGACTTTGTGTTTGCTGTCAATGAATTCTCTTACTTTTTTCCCAAGATTAGCAGTGTATTTAAAGGACATGTGTTTTAAATAGTGTGGGTAAGGTCTTTCAGGGTATCTATTCTTCTATATTTCTACATATAGAAGTCCACAGCTAACTTTTAATACTTTGGTTTTTTAAAGTAATAATGTAGAATTCAGTTTATAGCAGATGGAAGAGTAAATATAGAATAGGGAAGCAGATATAGGAAGTGTTTTACAACTCCTTTAAATGTCATGTTGGTATTGTTTGCTAGAGGAAAGATCTAATGGAAGGATTCTTTTTATTTTTCTGATGTTTGGGACAAGATAGATGAGGTAATTAGTACATTAAGATAATGAAAAGAAAGGGAATAAGAGAAGGGAGGCAGCATGGTCAAAGATAAGTGATTTTTATTGCATTTTTAGAATTAGAAAGTTTAACTTCAGTTTTTTGTAACTGAAGATATATTGCTACATACTTTGTTACAGCAAAACCTTTAATAATTATAGATGGTATGAATAGTAAATCTTCAAGGAGATTCTGATACTTGGTTATAAAATAAACTGATGAACCTATTTCTGGTTATATTGCTTTTTCCTTCAGAAAATATTTCTTGTGCTTGTGGAAGAAGCATTATTTATATGCTTTTTTGTCCTATTATCTGTTTCATAGGTATCTTGCCACACAACATCATGTACATTGACGTGATATATGGATGGTTGACTCATACAATATGTTCTTATAAAAGTATGGTGGTTAAGAGTTTGAGGTCTAGAGCCGGACAGCCCCTAGTTTGAATCCTTGACCTAGCACTGAACAGCTATAAGACACTGGGCAAGTTACTTCAATTATCTGAACCTCAGAAAATATATATAATAACCATAATATGTTAAAGGGTTAGGATTGAGTTTTTCAAAGCACATTGACTTTCACGTGCTAGTAAACTGCCCATCAAAGTACTTGGTAAATAGTAAATGCTCAGTAAGAGCTTCTAGCCTCTTCTCTCTCACCCCTTTTTATTCCTAAAACTGTAGTAACTACAGTACCACTTAACAAAGGGTTTTGCATAAAATGGACCCTTAATATATCTTTTTTGGGGCACCTGGGTGGCTCAGTCAGTTGAGTGTCCAACTTTGGCTCAGGTCATGATCTCGCGGTCCATGAGTTTGAGCCCCATGTCAGGCTCTGTGCCGACAGCTCATAGCTTGGAGCCTGCTTTAGATTCTGTGTCTCCCTCTCTCTCTGTCCCTCCCCAATTCACACCCTGTCTCTCAAAAATAAACATTAAAATAAAAAAAATGGATCTTTTTTGATTATTTATAAATAAAAACATAAAAATAGAAATCCTCCTGCCTTTCCAATATTCATTCATTTATTCATTCTTTCATTCATTCATTGATATTTATTACATTTCTCTGTTACATGCCACTTTGCTTGAACAAAACAATCTTTGCAATCAGAGGACTTATATGGAATATGTAGAAGAAAGTGATTCTTATTCAAACCAAACCAAACCCTTCTTCAGAGTGTCCCATGGATCTGTAACAGAAGGAGAACTGGGGCCAGGGTGACCATGGAGAAAGCCACCGAAGTAGTCTGAGTTAGGAATGTGGGCCGCCATGTACGGTGCTGTCCGTATTATTTTTCTCTGAGGATTTATTTGTGATTATAGTTGACGCAAAATGTTAACATTGGTTTCAGGTGTACAACATAGTGACCACTGTCTTTGCTCACCACAAGTGTAGCTACCCTCTGTCACTATACAATGCCATTACAGTACTGTTGACTATATTTCTTCTACTATACCTTTTGTCCCCTTGACTTACTCATGCCTCTGAGGATGTTTTAAATCTTTCAGTATTCCTACGTTTGTATCAAAATGGATAATTCTCATATTTCTCCTACTGCTTAAATATGGCAATAAATATCCCAAGTCATATCATTAGTTAATTCTAAATTATATCCTGGTGCTAAAAGCATATGAGGATTTTTGGTGATAAACAGAGTAAATAATGTTATATCTCCTCCTTTTATTGTTGCTCTCAATCCCTATCAGTGCAGAATCTTTTGGTATTTAAAAGCTCTTTATCTTTTAGATACTATCATCTTGTGTTTCAGTTGTAATGATAGTTTCTTGCTTCCTAAAGAAGAAAACCGAGCAATATTGCTATATATAAAGTGAAAATGAGAATCTCTCCTAGGAAAGCAGATTATTTGTAAAAAATAGCTTAAAATATTATATATGACTGAGAAAATTAAAATACCTATGGATATTTTTCTTCTAGATTTCAATATTTTTACTCATCTTCCAATTATCAGCTGAATCTGAAGACCCTCGTTTAATTTTATGCATGATTTCAGTACCTTTCTACACTTTAATTAGATTTTTCATATTTTTTATCGAGGTAAGCAATATCACCTACTGTGTGACTATCCTTAACCATGTAGCCCATTAATAAAATCTTTGCCCAGTGTTGGAACAAGTATAAACTTTAGAAGTTATTCAATGCTGCTGAGTTCTGAAATGAAGATTGCAAAACTGAATAAAGTTGATGACTGTGCTTAAGTCCCTTTTCTTAAATATAAGACCATGTGGAAGACGTGACATATTGTGCTCTTTGATTGCATGCCACTTAGTGTCAATAAATTGCTTTGGAGATGTGATTGGTAAGGGAAGGAAAGCATGTTGCTCCAAAGCACTTCTGGGAGAAACCAAGCACTACTGAGAATTTGAGGCAACTGTTGATAAATTTCATCTACATCATGGTTCTTTTTATCACAGTTTTTTTTTATGTTTATTTATTCTGAGAGAGAGAGCGCACACACATGAATGGGGGAGGGGCAGAGAGAGAGGGATAGAATCCCAAGCAGTCTCCATACACAAGCTCAATCCCACCAACCATAAGATCATGACCTGAGCTGAAATCAAGAGTCAAATACCTAACCGCCTGAGACACCCAGGTGCCCTGTGCAACTGCAATTCTAATGAGCACTGACTGATGTATGGAACTCTTGAATCACTGTATTGTACTCCTGAAACTAATATAACACTGTATGTTCACTAACTCAAATTAAAATAAAAATTTAGGGGCGCCTGGGTGGCTCAGTCAGCTAAGCATCTTACTCTTGATTTCAGCTCACGTCGTGATCTCATGCTTCGTGAGATGGAGCCCCACGTTGAGCTCTGTACAAACAGCGTGAATCCTGCTTGGGATTCTCTCTCTCTCTCTACCCCTCCACCATGAGAAATGTGTGGTCTCTCTTTCTCTCTCAAAATAAGTAAATAAACATTTAATAACATACAATAAAATAAAAACTTAAAAAATTTAAAAAGCATTAATGCTATATAGTACTTTTAATAGAAGGTAGCTAAAAAATATTCATCTGAAAAATGAATCAGAATACTTGCAAAACTTATCTTATTCTAAGACTTAACACATCTATTTCTAGTTATTTTACAATTGTGAAAAAATAGCTGCCTCCTGCTATTCGGGTTTTAACATTCTGATCAGCATCAGTTGCTTTTTTGGAAGGAGGTGAGGATAATGACATCAGAACAGTGACCAGAAAGAACACTGCAAGGCCTCTAGGTACTGAGAATTTTCATAGATGCTAGGATACATCCAAACAAAATATGTAATATTTATGTGTTCAAAATAAAATCAATCTAGATGAAAAAAGAGAAGAAGAAACTGCAAATCCCAAATTGTACTACATACAATTAGAAGACAGAAAGTGTTGGAGATTACAACCAAGGAAGAATGTCAGCTCATCAATAGTCTTTAGTAATAGAGAACAAATTCTGGTGTCCCTGGAACATCAAGTTCAATGTATGCATATTTAGCGTACAAATTTTATATGCATCAAGCAGAGGGACCTCCATTTAACTCTTGTGTTTCTTCAACAGGTACTTTATGTGTATATGAGAAGCTTGGAAAATGTGAATGATGAAATAAAGGAAGGCAATCAGACCATTCTCTTAACAGTCTTAATAGTAAGAAAAGTTTTCTACCCGAATGTATGTATATTGCCTAGGATTTGTAACTGTGTAACACACTTAATCTTATTCAAATAACAGCAAATTTAAGGATCCAAAAAATACTTGCTCTTACTATATTCCACTGTATTCTATATTCAAATACAATCACTGTAAAATGTGAGGGTGGTTTTCTATATGAAGTCAATGACAGTAAAATATACACCAGAAATATAAAGGTTTGATTGCTGTTCTTATACATTATTGACATGATATGTGTCCAAAGACAATCTGGATTGCCTTTGGTGATTTAAAAAGAAATACCACAAATGCTACATGTAAATCATTTTAATATGGATTAAAAATTAACTAATTTGGATAATGGAAAAAAAGGTGAAAAATTAAGCATAGCTTTATACTGGGAAAAGGTGCTAAAACAAATATAAATGTTATTTCTATGCATTATGGTAACTGAGGCAGAAAAGGGAAATTAAATGGATTACAAACCTCTTTTTCTCTTAATGGCAGCAGAGTAGTTTCTTGAGGGAGAAAGTTTCCCAAGTTTTTATAAATTTATAAAATTATATCCATTTCCACATGAGTCATTGCATATTGAATGTTTATCATCATATTTTCTAAATACATGCAGACATATTACATATCCAATGATTTTTTTTAATTGACCACTAACAAATCCTAAAGTTATACAGTTGTTTGGTTGGAACATATATTCATTAAAATGTGAACTCCAGGTAACACAGCAAAGAAAGCCTGAGACCTAATGGTCTTGCTGGCAGACATCCTTAAATTGTTCATGATTTTACTCTGAATCATCTTAGTACTTAACCATTAAGCATTCTATTGACTGTTTAAAATATCACTCAATTCCTAGTTTACTGGAGGTCTTAGTCTTTATTTATCAAGAATGAATCTTGAATTTTTTCAAAGGTTGTGTGCATCAAGAATAATCAAATAGTTTTACTGAATCCGTCAAGATAATTAATGAATTTTATTAAATTAAAATTATATTTCATAATATTTAAGAAATCTGTCCCTCTCTGGGGTCGTGAAAATATTCTTTGATATTGTCCTCTAGAAGATTTATATTTTCTTACACATTTATGTCTTCGATCACCTGCACTTAATTTTTTTTCTGTGTTGGGAGAGAAGGGTCCTATTTCATTTCTGTCTTTAAAGATACTCAATTGTCCAGAACTACTTATTGAAAAGCCTGTGCTTTTCCATTTGATATTCAGAGACACTTCCGTTCATACATAAAATGCCCATATATGCAGAGTCTTTTCTGGAATATCTATTCCAATTTGTATGCTTCTGACAAATTCTTTGGAGATCTACTAGTTTGGTAGTGCTTTTGATTAAATTCCAGGCTTAGGGGCCTGGGTGGCTCAGTCAATTGAACATCTGATTCTTGATTTGGGCCCAGGTCATGATCCCAGGGTCGTGGGATCGAGCCCTATGTTGAGCCCTGCATCAGGCTCCGTGCTGAGCATGGAGCCTGCTTAAGATTGTCTCTCTCCCTTTGCTCCTCTCCCCGACTCATGCTCTTGCTCTCTAAAATAAATAAAAATAAAAAATAATTAATTAATTAGTTAATTCCAGGCTTGAGATTTTTTGGATCATTCAGATGATTTGAATTTGGGCTACAAATCTGTGCATAAGCTGGCTTCTCATTCTGCTTCACTCCCCATGGTTGGCACTCAAGACCTTACAGACCTCCTGGGGGTTCTTTATGTCCTTCACTAAAAGTAAAACCCTTTGAGACCTATGCTTTATTAGTGAAAAGACCACCTATTTGACTCTTCGCTGGGAAGAAAACTCTAGAGTTGTATCGTTAGTTTCTCCTGTCCTCTTCTCCTGGACACATCATGAAATCTGAAGTTTGAAGATTAACTCCAGGATGAGAGGTGCTTTGGTGTCAAGACTACCCCCTACATCCACTTAGATCAGGCTTAAAAAGTCCTTCCTATCTTTTTTTAAAAAATAATTTATTTTTTAGAGAGGCAGTGAGTCGGGGCTGGATGGAGAGAGAAGGAATCCCAAGAAGGCATTGCAGGGTCAAAGCAGAGTCTGACATGGGGCTTAAACTCATGAAACTATGAGATCATGGCCTGAGCCAAAACCAAGAGTCTGATGCTTAAAACACTGAGCCACCCAGGCAACCAAAAAGTTCTTACTATCTTAAAAAAGAGTCCCTACCATATTGTCAGCTTTTCTATGCTTTAAGAGTTTTTGTTTGTTTATTTGTTTTGTTTTGTTTTTTCCCCCGTGGAATGAGGGTTGGTTTGGATAAACTTCTCATGTCAGAAGTATTTTGTAAGATTTTTGTCAATTTTTTTTAATAGTTTATTGTCAAGTTGGTTTCCATATAACACCCAGTGCTTATCCCCACAGGTGCCCTCCTCCATGCCCATCACCCTCCTTCCCTTCCCCCCATACCCATCAGTCCTCAGTTTGTTCCCAACATTCAAGAGTCTCTCATGGTTTGCCTCCCTCTCCCAGATTTTTGTCAAACTTATAAGAAAATGATCAAATCTCCCCTGAGGAAAGGCAGATATTGCCCACTGAATTTGAATCCCTTGATCATACTAATTCTAATTATCTTTCTTTGCTTTTTAGCCATACCTTCAGAGTATCATTTTCCTTTTTGTTATAAGATGTCTGGAAATGAAGTGTGGAAAAGAAACAATGAGGAAAGATCCAGTCTTCAGGTCAGGACAACATTTATTAACATCTGAGTATAATTTAAGTATTTAATGTTTGTGGCAGTACATTGAACATCAAGTTATTAATGATAGATCTACTATTGAGTTCTTAGCTAGGCACATTGGACATCCTTATTCTGGGGGAGAAAAACAACCCAAAACAGCATTAGATTGAGTGCAGGAAAGCATAGTTTCTAAGTCATGGGTCTTACAGGTTTCAGGCAAGTTGAGTTTTTGTTCTGTGTCTCTCTCTTAGCAGTGGGTAAGCACCAAAGTTTGTTTTTCTCCTGCTTAGAGCAAGTATCAGTCCCTAAGGAGAAGACATGAGAATGAGCTGGTGTGTTCAGTATGTGGGTGGACTTTCTGAAAAGGGAAGAGAAGTCAGTTCTGCTGATCATTGATGATGTAATGTGAGCATCATGTGGATGGGGCAGACGGGAAACACTGATGAGTGTGTATCGGAGAGAATTTAGAGAACCCATTGACAGATGGAATAAAAGGTCTTAAAGACAATAGACAAAGAAAATGTTTCAAGGGACTTGGCTACCTACAAAAGGAATCTTGTCGGTAGTAAATTAATTTTCTTTCTCTTAAAGCAAAGGATAATAATTTAAGTATAGGGGCTTATTTACATTCTCTTAATAAGGTTTTACAGCTAGAATTGAATTGCATGTGATTTTATTTTCTCTATAGAATCTCCTCAGGAAGTAGGGAAAATCATCCAAATCCAGAAGAACCAGAAGAAGAAGATGAGGATGTCCAAGCTGAAAGAGTGAAAACAGCAAATGCACTCAGTACTCTGAACCCAGATGAGGTGAAAACAAGTGACTTTGACCCTTCATGAAACACTGAGCTCAGTAACTTGTCCTGTAGAGCTGAACTCCCGGTTTTTATGTTCAAAACTTGTTTCTGTGACACTTGCATGTGTATGTCATATTTAAATCGTATCTATTGCAGTATGTATCTTATCACGACTCCATTAGTTTTCCCTTCTTCAGTGGGTCTTTACCTCCATGTCTTCATTTGTCAGTGCAACTCAACGTATTCTCCAATATTTTTATCAACCTTAACAAAAGTTCACGTCTTTTGCAAGACTTGCAGTTTCATTTTGTATCACCTCGAATTGTGACATTAATAACTGTAGTCAGCAGGTGAATTTACACCTAGTTCATTTCAGAACTAGGGGGTGAAATGAACTAGAGGGCGCCTGGGTGGCTCAGTCCATTAAGCATCCGACTTTGGCTCAGGTCACTATCTCACAGTTTTTGAGTTCGAGCCCTGTGTCGGGCTCTGTGCTGACAGCTCAGAACATGGAGCCTGCTTCAGATTCTGTGTCTCCCTCTCTCTCTCTGCCCCTCCCCTGCTCATGCTCTGTCTTTCTCTGTATCAAAAATAAATAAACAAAAAAAATTTTTTTGAAGACATCAACTAGAAATTAGTGCCAAGGGGTTTTCCCAGTAGTTGATAAAGTAAACTTCATTCGTGAACATACATTTAGGTATTTCATTTGAAAGAAAGAGGCTGAATTACCAATGGCAGAAAATCTGGTTAGATTCATAGCCTAGGACGTGAAAGATAAAACACAAGTGCACAAAATATCTGAAATTTAGTACAAAAATTATGCTTTGTCGTGTTTTCCAGAAACCAGTCATAATGGCAAGCTGTTTACATAAGGAATATAAAGAGAAAAAGGAACGTTGCTTTTCAACAAGAAAGAAGAAAATAGCCATTAGAAACCTCTCATTCTGTGTTAACAAAGGTTTGGATAGCGTTCCCTGTATTAAAATGTTCCTTATTATTTAGGTTTGGGACTACAAAAAGAGGGAAAATTTCCATTCTTTGAGACTATTCACCTATCAAGTATTCAATTATAAAACTATTTGACATGTTGGCAGAGAAACATTTTCTGTTTCAAAATCATGTCCCCTTTCAAATGATAAGAAATCCCATCTTGGATCTGGAAGATGAAATCATTCTACTGTAAATCTAAAGTCTTTCCATTCACACTGAAATATAGAAAATTACAAAGGGGTTGTTGGAAAATGTTTTTGTTTCAAAACGTTACTAAACTAAGTGATTTTAGGCTGGTCAAACTTTAAAGTACAAATCATATCCTCAATGATGACTCTGCCTTCAGGTGAAGTTTTGGGGTTGCTGGGACACAACGGAGCCGGTAAAAGTACTTCTATTAAAATGGTAACAGGAGACACAAAGCCAACTGCAGGAATGGTACGTGACAACCTCATCACCAGGGGAAATTTCATTTTCAAGGTCAATAGCATTGTCCTATTGTTCTATCAGCAAGTCAAATGAGTTTTTAGAAAATGAATAAATAGGGGCGCCTGGGTGGCTCAGTCAGTTAAGCGTCCGACTTTAGCTCAGGTCATGATCGCACGGTTCGTGGGTTTGAGCCCCACATCGGGCCTCTGTGCTGACAGCTCAGAGCCTGCAGCCTGCTTCAAGTTCTGTGACTCCCTTTCTCTCCGTCCCTCCCCTGCTCACAGTCTGTCTCTCAAAAATAAATAAACGTTAACAATTTTTTTAAAAAAAGAAAATGAATAAATAGATGAAAGATTTTACAAAATATCTCTGCAGGTTCAAAAAATAGTGACGCTTAATGGCCCCTCTTTCTTTATTCAAGTATAATTAACAGACAGTGTTACATTAGTTTCAGGTGTAGAATATAATGATTCAGGAGTTCTATACATCACCCAATGCTTATCACGACAAGGGTCCTCTTAATCCCCTTCACTATTTCTTCGGTCCGCACCTCCCTTCTGGCAGTCACCAGTTTGTTTTCTGTATGTGAGAGTGGTTTTTTTGTTGGTCTTTCTTTTTCTTTGTTTTGTTTCTTAAATTCTACATATGAGGGGTGCCTGGGTGGCTCAGTCAGTTAAGCCTCCGACTTTGACTCAGGTCATGATCTCACGGTTTGTGGGTTTAAGCCTCGCGTCAGGCTCTGTGCTGACAGCTCAGAGCCTGGAGCCTGCTTCAGATTCTGTCTCTCCCTGTCTCTCTGACCCTCCCCTGCTCATGCTGTCTCTTTCTCAGAAATAGATAAAACATTAAAAAAAAAATTCCACATAAGAGTAAAATCATATGGTGCTTGTCTTTCTCTGACTGACTTATTTCACTTAGCATGATACTCTCTGGGTCCATTCACATTGCCACGGGGGGCAAGCTCTCATTCTTTTCTGTGGCTGAAAAATCTTCCATTGTGTGTGTGTGTGTGTGTGTGTGTGTGTGTGTGTGTGTGTGTGTATGTATTATCTCCACCATTCATCTGTCCATTCTTTTTATCCATTCATCTGTCAGTGGATACTTGGATTGCTTCTGTATCTTGGCTATTGTAACTAATGCTGCAGTAAACATGGCGGGAGATGTATATCCTTTCAAGTTAGTATTTTTGTTTTCTTTGGTTTAAATTCCCAGTAGTGGAATTACTGGATCGTATGGTAATTTTATTTTTAATTTTTTGAGGAACCTCAACACTGTTTCCCACAGTGGCTGCCCCAGTGCATTCCCACCCACAGTGCATGAGGCAGACTTATCTCCTTTGGTAGAGGGAGGATTGGAGCAAAAGCTGGATGTGGATCTGACTTTCCTTGTTTGATGCAGGTGGTTTTAAAAGGCTGCGGAACATCACCGAGGCAACCGGAAGATAACACCCTCAAGTTTTTGGGGTACTGTCCTCAGGAGAACTCACTGTGGCCCGACCTCACAGTGAAAGACCACCTGGAGCTGTACGCAGCAGTGAAAGGAATGGGCAAACAGGAGGCTGCTCTCAGGACTTCACGGTATGGAGGGAAGCTCACATGCTTTGTGGAGGGAAGAAGGGAGGAATGTGTCGTTTTCTGATTTAACATGGAAAGGAGATCATAAACAAGGTTTTTCAATTTTCGTGCAAATTTAAATGACTGAAAATGTGAATAAGAACCAAATCCTAAGCTTATGTGTTTGTGATGATGTTAATGGTCTTTCAATCTACTGGTTTCAGGTCGATGGTACTAAGGTTTTCCATATCGTTGGTTTAGGTAGGAACATGTGCCTTGTGTATAATCACAGTGGTTTTGGTTTTGGTTTTTGTTTTTTTTGGTCAGATTGGTGGAGGCTCTCAAGCTCCAGGAACAACTTAAAGTGCCCGTGAAGGCCTTATCCCAAGAAGTAAAGAGGAAGGTAGGAGTGGGGCTCGGTGTTACTCTGCGCACCCCACAGGTCGGTGCCAGACACACTGTTCCTCTCCTTCTCGTTCCAGCTGTGCTTTGCACTGAGCATCCTGGGAGACCCATCGGTGGTGCTTCTGGATGAGCCGTCCACAGGGGTGGACCCCAAGGGGCAGCAGCACATGTGGTGAGGGGCATCATACTAAGTAGTATGAGTCTAGAGTTAATATTCTTTCTACATTTGCTCCATTTATCTTTGATGCTCACATCGTCTTTTACTTAATTCAGTGAAACTTAATGCAGTATTCAGAATTCCCCAAGGATGGAAAAATAGACATTTTAAGAATCTCACAAAATCTTGAATGTATTTGCCTGGATTTTCTCTTTCTTACCCCTCTTCCTCTGCCTCTTTTTTCTTTTATTTCTCAGTTGTTGAAAATCCTACAGTTTCTCTGTACCCCAGCTTTTGTAAACAAACATTATTTTACTCACTACTTGGCAGTCTTCAACTTTTCATTCTATGAAGCCAGTTAATGTTGTAATATAATTTCATAATGCAGTACGATTTTTATTCTTTCTCTCTGGAGCAAAGATTTTTTTTTTCTTGTGACTAAATACAGAATTTTCTATTTAGTCTTCATATTTCTTTCTGTTCATCTATTTTCTCAAATTACTTTTTCTGCTTTTAAAATTTATTTATTTATTTATTTATTTTAATTTAAATTCAAGTTAGTTAATATCAAGCATAGTAGTCTTGGCTTCAAGAGTAGAGCCCGGTGATTCATCTCTGACATATCCAAATGACTTTCTAAATGTGAACAATCCCTTACTTTATCTTTAGGCAGACAATTCAGACCATGGTTAAAAGCACAGAGAAGGCTGTTCTCCTGACCACCCACTCCATGGCGGAGGCGGAGGCTGTGTGTGACCGCGTGGCCATCATGGTGTCTGGAAAACTGAGGTGGGTGCCCATCCTTGGCCACACTCGGCCCTAAGTTCTTCTGGGAGAATTTCAGTTCACTGTGAGAGCTTGATCTATGATCTGTGATCAAATATCTTCCTCTGCATTTGCAGTTGAGGAAGAAATTAAAAGACAAGTGTTTTTTTCCTTCAACTCTTTTTTTCTCATCCCTGGATTAGGTGTATTGGTTCCATTCAACACCTGAAAAGCAAGTTTGGTAAGGATTATATTCTAGAAGTAAAAATAAAGGACACCACTCAAGTGGAGCCTGTCCACACAGAGATTCTGAAGCTTTTTCCACAGGCTGCTCGGCAGGAAAGGTAAAGAACGTTTTTGGCTTGGGTGACAAGTATATGGGTTTTCCAGCACACATAATTTAGTCTTGGATGAGTCTGGAGAGGAAGAGAAAGACTGAGCTGACTTATTTAGTACCAAACAAGTCATTTGGGGGTCACTTGGATATATACAAAAAAGGGCAATTGGAAAGTTATTTTCAGTGAATGTTTTGTATCTCAGAAAAGGTGGATGGGGTTTGTGTGTGTGTGTGCATGTGCAGGTATGTGTAAATGATGGAGTGGTTTAAAAATTAGGTACAGAGTATGAACTAAATCATGAATTTAAAGTTTTTTAATAAACAATGAAAATTGTGTATCAACCTGTAGCATGTTACCAAATGTAAAATTGCATCAAGAGCTCCCATAACACACACATTCATATGCTTGAGAAAGATCGACTCAATCCTAAATTAACTGATTATAGGTCATTTAATTCTCCCTATGGTTCTTTTAAATTTGTGTGTGGTCAGCTCTGAGTTACAAGTAAGGATTACCAAGCCCATGTGAATAGCAGAATGAAGGTGAGTTGAACAGAAAGATGGACAGGGTTGGGGCACCTGCGTGGCTCCATCGATTGAGCATCTGACCCTTGATTTCAGCTCAGGTCATGATCTCCTGGTTCGAGGGATTGAGCCTTGCATTTGGCTCTGCGCTGACAGCCAGAGGCCTGCTTGAGATTCTATCTCTCCCTCTATCTCTGTCCCTCCCCTGCTCGTGCTCTTTTCCTGTCTCTCAAAATAAATAAGTAAACATAAAAAAAAGATTAACAGGGTTTTTTTTATATATTACTGCTATTCATTTTTTAAAAATAATACTCATTGAATACCTACTATATGCTAGAGACCATGTTTGGAGTAGTCAGTAAATAGAGAAGATTCTTATGGTGCTTATAATCACTGGGGGACAAGGATATTAAGCAAATGAAGATACAAAGAAATAAGGAAATGACATTAAGGTAGGACTTTAAAACTGAGACGAGTTTGGCTGCTGAAGAATGGGGATAAGAGAACACAGAATGTGTAAAGAACCTAAGTCAAGAATTAACTTTGTACCTGCAGAGTGAGGGGATAAAGCTCATATAGTTGATGTGTAAAGAGTGGTGTCTCCAAGTGGAGGTGTCAAAAGACTGAGATGTAGGCCTGTGGCCTTTTCGGAAGAAAAGTGAAAGGTCATTGAGAGTTTTGGTCTAGCAATAATCAGTGATGGACATTTTTACTATATAGAAGACCACTAAGTTAGGAGAATGGGTGAAGTCAGCAAGTGACATAGAAAAGGGAGAAGGTCTAGGATGAAACGCCAGGATCTCTGTATTGAGATTATATTGAGGAAAAAAGCTGGTACGGAAACTACTACCACCACCACCACCACAGCAACCATTATGACAAATATTAAAGAGTCTAAAACAGCACTATCCTACCAAATGTCTGCAGTGATGGAAATGTTCCATATCTGTGCTGTCCAAAATGGCATCCAATACCCACATGTGTCTATGGTGCATTTCACACATGGCTAGAGTGACCAAGGGATTGAATTTTACACTTTATTTATTTTAGTTAATTTAAATTTAAAAAGTTTTTAATGTTTACTTATTTTTGAGAAAGAGAGACCGAGCAGGGGAGGGACAGAGAGGGAGACACAGATCTGAAGTACGCTTCAGCCTCCAAGCTGTCAGCACATTGTCCAGCATGGAGCTCAGACTTAAGAACTGTGAGATCGTGACCTGAACTGAAGTCAGAAACTCAACCAACTGACCCACCCAAGGTGCCTTAATTTAAAAGTAAATGCTAGATGTGGCTAGTAGCTAAAATATTAAATAGAACAAGTCTAGAAAATTACAAGGAAAGACATAAATTTTGTTTGTTTCAGAAGCTGAGAGTGTGTGTTAGTTTTAAGGAGGTTGTTTATGACTTTATTTAATGCTTTTGAGAAGTCTAAAAAATAAGAATTAAAGAATGTTCACTGGATTGTACAACATGGAGGTCATGGACGGACTTATTTGGGAAAGGGGTGCTGGAGGTCAAGAAAGATTTTTATTTTAATAGGCGAGAGTTCAACGGGTTTTAATATTATAAGAGAGATTGGAAATTAAATGCAGAGGGGAAAATTTGATGCAAAGGTTCTAGGGAGCATGTTCAAGTACTGGCATTAATACAATAAGAAAGCTGGCACAGGCTTCTGTGAAAGTTTCTTTATCAAAGATATTTTTCACAATTTATCTTGAGCATTAAATTTAGAGCAATCAGATTTTTGTTGTTATCAGATTTTTATGACTAAAGTTATTCAGCTCAGATTTGTGCTCTATCAAATTAAACTATTTAGATTTTTACTCTAAGAAAACTTTAAAAATGTATTTTGACTATCAGTTTCTCCCCAGTGTTGTAACACTGTGATAAATGAGACTGTTTCCTTCTCCTAGATACTCCTCCATGATGGCATATAATCTACCTGTGGGAGATGTTCACCCTCTGTCTCAGGCCTTTTTCAAACTAGAGGCAGGTAAGTTTAGACATGCTTCTAAACTTATTGTGCATATTTTCATACGGAATATATACTCTATGAGCTCAAGTAGAAAAGTTGTATGATCAGTCAAAACTTAGCAAATCTCCACTGGCTTCGTCTTACACACCCTGAAGGAAATGTAGTGGTGGCTCTAGACTCAGGTTTACTCCCCTGATTTTTCCTCTGCTGACAAGGTAACTCAGCTGTTCCCTCCTGGTTCCATCTCATGGTATTGGAGGATAGTTATCTACAAGTCCCAAACAACACCGAGGGGAACTTCTTGCGTCTCCATATTTATCATAGTCAGAGGGGTGAGGAGCAAGAATGTGGAGACAATGATTAGAGGCTCAAATGAAGGTCAGAGAAGGAAAGTACACAGGGCTGAGATGTGACAAGTTAGGATCGGTGAACTAGTTCTAGAGACGCTGACTAGAGGTCACACTGGGTATTGATGAGGCCTTGACGCATAGAAATCTAGGATTCATTAAAATGGTACCTACGTGCAGGGTACTCCTCCGTAGATTATTATAAATATAGAAACCCAACAATACCCAACAGTTGATTTGGAGTCTAATAATACATATATAGGAATCAAAAGACAAAATACTGAGAGATCACAAGAAGCTCTTGTAAGAGAAAGTCTGTGGCCATGCATGCGTTCATGCATTGCTCTCCTTTGTTTGGCCATATTAACATTTTTCTTTAATTTATCCTTCAGAAAATTTAATGACTCTTTAAAAAAAATTTTTTTAAATGTTTATTTATTTTTGAAAGGGGGGAGGGGCAGAGAGAGAGGGAGACACAGAATCTGAAGCAGGCTCCAGGCTCTGAGCTGTCAGCACAAAGCCCGATGCAGGGTCCAAACTCATGAACTGTGAGATCATGACCTGAGCTGAAGTTGGATGCTTAACTGACCGAGCCACCCAGGTGCCTCTGATTTGGCCTATATCTTGAAGTGTCTCATAGATCTGAAGTTAATGCTTATATTGTATACTTTGAAAGCACTTTGGGTAAAAAACATGTAAGCCACTAATGTCAGTCCCTTTGAAATGCAGTGAAACAGACCTTCGGCCTGGAAGACTACAGCCTCTCTCAGGCTACCTTGGAACAGGTGAGCTTTCTTTAAACCAGTGAGCATCATCTGGGGAGCCTTTGTGTGAGAATCTGTGTGCATCCATCGTTCAGAAACACCCTGACATTTTTGTTTCCTTATTTATTTTCTCCTACTTAGGTATTCTTAGAACTCTCTAAAGAACAAGAGCTGGGAAATCTTGATGATGAAGTTGATACAACAGTAAGATGGAAACTCCTCCCACAAGAAGAGCCTTAAAACTCCGAGTCTCCTAACATTGGATTTTAGGTCCTACTACATTATTAGTTTCCAGAATTCTAAAACAATATTCCATATTACCACAGGTAACAAATAAACAAAAACATTCAGTAGTTTAAACATCAATAATGATTAAGAATTTAAATGGCTTTTAAAATTCTAGAATGGAAGGGAAAGGCAAAGATAGGGAAAGGTAGTGAGCATTTACATAATCAGACATTATACTAAACACTAGTAAGACCTATTTTATGTTTAATACTAATTCAAGAATCATATAATGTTAGTCCGGGTTTTTATTATTTTCAATAAGGCTGGATGCTGAACACATTTTACGAATAAAACATTGTGTTTTTTAACCTGAACTTTAAATATATCAATTCTTTTTAAAGCTTTATTTACTCAAATACCAATTTAATATAATATTGACCATAAGATGGTCTAATAAGTTGATGGGTGAAATTACACACTATAACCTTTAAATATAATTATATTTTCCAATTCTAAGATAAATATATGCTCATTTAAGGATATATAGAAATTAGTTTGACGAAGATAATGGTAATCTATAGTAAAACACCAGCATAAATATTTTAGCTGGCTATCATCAATGCTCTTTTTATAAGTACTTTCTGAAAGTTGATATCAGTGGCATGGTAATTTCCTGTATTTTCCCACTTCATGGTTCATGAGCATTTCACGTATAATTTTAATAATGCCTTTGGGGTGTGGAATAGCTGCATTGGATTCCTTTGATGTACTGTCATGGTTTTTACTTTACCTTTTTACTATTATCAGACATTTTTGGTTATATGCTAGTTTATCTCTTATAAATAAAGCTGTGATGAACTTCTCTTCAGTCTTCTTTTATTATAGTCTTGGGTAAGTAGTTCCAATATCAACCAATAGCTGTCTGCTCAGTGAAATCTAGGTAACTTTGTTCTCTGACCAGCAGAAAAATTCCGTACCTATCCTAAGCTTCTGAAACCTCTACAGGACCTTTTAATGTCATGCTCATCCCCGACTCTGACTTCCTTCATCTGCTGAACTCCTGTTAACTGGTCTGTGGGTTGTGTCAGTTCTTTTACCTTCACCTTGGCATTGACTTAAAGGTAGAATTTGGCCCCTTACCTTGATTCTTACAAACAGCTATTCCACGGGTAGTTTATAAACGAGGCACATCCTCCTAACTTGTAGGTATCATTAAAATTAAATTAAAATGCATAAAAATATGACATTTTACCTGTAATGTTCTGGTTCTCTAGAAGGCAATAGTTGAGGGCTTGCTTCATATTAGGGATGGATTGTCACAATTGGTCCAAAAGAGAAGGTTGGTAAAAAATAACACCTTCCATTTTCTACCCATGTCCTTACTCTTGTCAAACAGTGATTTGCTTTGACTGAAAAGCTACAGCAAGGCTCTGTGACATCTTCTGATGTAGCTGTTTGGCAGTGGGTACTGCCAGCTATTGGATGAAAGTACTTCCTCTAACAACTTTATTTAGCTGCTTTGAATGGACAGGCATTCTGGACCTTCACTTTGTAAATTTCCTGCTTCTGTACATGAAAATCATCCAACTGTGGTATGTTTCATTCCTTACGCCCTTAAAATTTTGCTTTGCAGTCATTGCTCATAAGCTCATCTTCTTGGGCCACATACTTTTTGGAATGGGTAGAACCTCTCAGTGCTTTCCAGCCATAATGTCTTAACTTATTACGAAAGGTCCACATTCTTGGTGACTTTCTTGGTGATCTCACAAATCCTTGTTCCTGGTAGTGATTTCTGTATTCCTTGGGTTTCCCAGCTTGTAAGAAATGGAATCACATCCATTAACCCAGGTAATGAGGGTCTATTGTAATTCCAGGCCTATCCAGGAAGAAGGAGAGTTCTGAAAGAGACAGCTTGAAGGTTACTGTGGATTCAAGACAGCCACAGGACTCTTTATGAGTGGAGATTGTGATAGAGACTCTACCCATGGAGATAGAGTGATAGAGACTCCTCTACTTGTGCTGCTGTGCCTATCCTGAAATATGGTCTTCTGCCAGTTAACTGGCTATAGCACCTACTGCTTTGTACATCTTTTCTCAGCCTCCTTCTTCTGCATACTTAAAGCTTTTGCTTACCTCTTTCTTTACCTTATCCCATGGCCTCCATTGTCCCTCCTGCCTCACTGACTTTTCTCTGTGCATCTGTTTAACTTCGTCTGTATTGCCTGGCTCCATTTCTGGATAACGGAAACTTATGATTGGCTTTGTCTCTATTTGAGCTGAGTTTTTATAACCAGCAATGCATAGGCTGAATGTGCTGTGGTCTTACACTCATGGTACAAATTATGGTCAGCTTTACATTAAGAACAGCCTGGGCACTCATCCCTTAGGAAGACATCTTCCAAGAAGCAGCAAGAAGCTGGTAAGTACCATGCTTGTCACATTCAATAAAACCGATATGTAGAGTTTAACCCACACACAGAATTAATGTCTGTTAATACCGATCCTCCTCACATTGAAAATGCCTTGGAAGATCTAGCAGGATTACTCTGGATTAAGTTAAAAATACCAGTAGTTACTGGGCACCTGGGTGGCTCAGTTGGTTAAGCATCTGACTTCAGCTCATGTTCGTGATCTCATGGTTCATGGGCTCGAGCCCCACGTTGGGCTCTGTGCTCACAGCTCAGAGCCTGGAGCCTGCCTCAGATTCTGTGTCCCCCTCTCTCTCTGCTCCTCTCCTGCTCACACTCTGTGTCTGTGTTAGAAATAAAGAGTTAAAAATTATTAAAAATAAAAAAGAAAGATATATAGTTTCTAAATTTCCCTGTTGTGAAAAATGGTGCCACTAAGAATGGGACATGTAGATCTTTAATGATTATCTACCTAATCTGTGGAATACACTCTGAGAACTCCCAGCTCAAAGGCTCTCCATGTGCCTAAACTTCCAACCGAAGTTTCACTCAGGAGTTCTGTACATTCCAGCCAGTTCTCTGACGTCTTCCCCTGGCAGCAACTCTGAAGCAGAAATTTCCTTTAAAAAGGAAGGAATTAAAGACTACTAGCAATAATGACAAAGTGAAGTACCATTTCTGTAATGCCCTCACTCTTACATACTAAAATAAAAACAAAAAGCAAAAAATAAAAACAAACAAGATGGTATATGTGGAATTAAGAGAGGTCCCAGACTCCTATAACCCCCAAGTAACTGTGTTAGCATACCAAACAATTCTTTACCAAACCACAGGAAGATGGCAGGAGGCAGCATACCTCTCTCCAGTCTGTGAGCAGAGTGGACCAGTTAGAAGTGAAGCAGAATCTGAAAGCCCCCCTGTTCCATTCTCCCTGTTCAGCTGGGGAAGTCCTGAGAAAGCACGATCAAGCGAAAGGAAAGCCTGTTGTACCACTGAACAGATGGGAGAGGTTAGTCTGAGGAAGAAAGCGTTCAGCTAAATGCTCATTGTACCAGGTACCATATTGTGTTCACCAAACCTCCCCCTCCACCATCCAGAGCCAACTTAAGGATCCTGTGGGGGGTGGGGGGGAAGGAGAAGGAGAAGAAGGAGGAGAAGGAGAAGGAGAAGGAGGAAGGAAGAAGGAAAGAAGAAAGAAGGAAGAAGAAGAAGAAGAGGAGGAGGAGGAGGAGGAGAAAGAAAAAATTAAAAGATTTTTTTTTTAAAGTAACACTGAGGGACACCTGGGTGGCTCAGTGGGTAAGCATCCAACTTCGGCTCAGGTTGTGATCTCATGACTCATGAGTTTGAGCCCCACATTAGGCTCTGGGCTGACAGCTCAGAGCCTGGAGCCTGCTTCAGATTCTGTGTCTCCCTCTTTCTCTGTCCCTCCCCCATTCGTGCTCTGTCTCTGTCTCTCAAAAAATAAACATTAAAAAAAAAAACCCTAACTTTGGACTTTGCTACTGGACTGGTGCAAGAGGCATACAGGATGGCCTCCTCAGATTGAGAATAATCTCACTGGCATACTAATGAAAAGATTAAGAATAAACTCCATCATTAGGAAACTGTGGCCAAGAACCTACCTTGAAGATGATATTAAATGAAATAAGAGATGAGATCATTGTAACAAATGAGCTATTAAATAATTTGGAATTGGAAATTCAGTGTCAAGAACAAACTGACACTTAAGGGGCTCTGTGAATCTTCTGAAGATTATAAAGACATGGAACATCTCAAAAAAAAAAATAGGCCTCCCCATTTGCCTCAAGTAACATAATCTAGAGCTTTATTAGGAGATCATATCTCGACCCTGAAGAAACAAAGTTGAGAAACTTATAGCCACAAAGAAGCCCCCAGATGAGCAAAGGAATGAACAAAGGAATATTAAAGAAAGGCTATTAATAATTCCTGATGAGTTCAGTGGTACTCCTGAGTATATGGAATCTCACTTAACCTATTGTTAAATTAATAATGTTATTAAAGAAATCAACAAGGCAGCTATTAGTAAACACAAGATGCTATATCAACCAAAAAAATCTGAGTTCTGTGGCCATAAATCTACAGATTTATTGATGAAGAAACAAAAGATACCAAAGATCATTATTGTATAATGGAAGCTGACATAAAGGAGTCCATAGCTTTGAAAATTGATTCAAGGTTTTATGTGATACTGAATATGTTACAACATTGCCAGAGGCTATCAGAGATCTGAGAAGGAGGCTTTACCCATTATGTTATGACCTAAGGCCCTTGTGAACTTTGGAATGAGCCAACAGTAGGGTGTGTTGAGAGGCTATTCCTATAAATTATTTTTTAAAGTTTATTTATTTATTTTTGAGAGAGAGAGAGAGAGAGAGAGAGAGAGAGAGAGAGGGGGAGGATCAGACAGAGAGGAAGAGGGAGAATCCCAAACAATCCCAATCTGCTGTTCTGGTAGCACAGAGCCCTCTGTGTGTGTGTGGCGGGGGGGTGGGGTGGTGTCTCTGTAATTTCTTTATAAGAATACTCTCTTGAGCTCTTTAATTTTCTTTTTTCTTATTTCTTCTCAAAATAAAACACTTTATGGTGAAATGTATATATTTAAACGTTTGCTTCATTTCAGCAAATATTTAACCACGTACCATATGAGTCTTTGTGGTAAATGCAGAATGCAACAATAAAAATATTCATGTGTAGGTTTTGTGTTTAGTGGCAATGATGCAGACCCCATAACATAGGTACAGATGTAGTAATGGAAGGAAAAGGTCAAGAAAATAAGGTCAAGGATACCAAGACCCTCTGGAATTAAAGGTCACTAGTGTCTAAATTCTATCAACAGCATTTCAGTCTACAGGCATACTTCCTAGAAATTTGAATTGGGGGCAGTTTAT